TTTGCTGAATGTGTGTCCTTGCTCTTCACCTTATTTTAAACTATACTAAAGGGCATGATGGGTAAATAGAAAATAAAAAATCTTTCTAGTTGAGGAATAAATATTATATAGTTAGATACATGTGCCTGTGGAGGTAATCTCCTACTTTGAGGTAGATTGCACATCAGATGACTCTCCAATATTAAAGACGACCTGTTGTGCTTGTGTCTGCTTTATAACTATAATGTAGAAAATGACTACGCAATGCTGCTGAATCCTACTTGTACCACAGAATAAGAAAATGAAATTGGAGATGATGTAAGTACAGAGCAGTGGGCGTGTGCCGTGGCAGTGAAAACAGATTGATCGTCAATATGGCATCTTGAAAAAAAGTGATCAAAGATTGCTCAAACATGCACAAATCACTCCAAATACAACTTTGGGTGAGTAAATGGTGAGGGGAAACAATCCGTGTATCATTTGTTCATTTGTTTTTCAATATAAAACCAAAAATATGAAAACGAAAAACAACTGTTTTTTTTTGTTTTTGTTTTTTTCATTATTTGTCTCCAAAACCAAACAATTCATTTTTTCAATTTTCGATTTTAAATGAATAATGGAAACAACACATAACGGCCGTTTCCCGTTTTCATGATTTAAACTGTGATGCTGGACTTTTGCTGTGCATACTGAACCAGGACTAAAGCAGGTCCGGGACCAGACTGGAACCAGACCGGGACTGAGACCAGGACTGAGACATGCGAATGGGAACAGGTCCAGGACTCAGACCGGGACCAGACTGGGACTGAGACGGGAACCAGACCAGGACTGACACTGGGACTGACACTGGGGCTGAGACTGGGAACAGACCAGGACTGAAAATGGTTTAGTCCTGATTTAGTATTGTTTTAGTCCTGATTCAGTCCTGGTTCAGTCTGTATGCGGCACAAAAAGTCCAGCATCACACTTTAAGTCACGGAAACAGAAAACGGCCATTATCCGTTTTTTTTACCAGTATTCATTTAAACACAAAATCCAAAATCGTTATCTGTTTTTTTTGTTTGTTTGTTTGTTTTTTGTTTTGTTTTTTTCATTTTGATTTTGGAGACAAATAATGAAGAAGAAAAAATATATATATATATGTGTGTGTGTGTGTGTGCGCGTGTGTGTGTTTTTCTTATTTTTGGTTTTATATTGAAAAACTAATGAACGAATGATACACGGATTGGAAACAACTATAACATGGTCTAAAAAGTCCAGTTTAATATATAACCTCTTTTACCTCATATTTACAACGTTTACTGCAATGCTTGTTGATTTATTCTTTGTATTTTTCTGTTTTTTTTTACTTATACGCTGCCATGTTTGTTTTGTCACAAATGAGCCATGCTTTTCTCTGATTGGTTAATCCATCTATTGGGTATCATGTGGAGACTGGATATGGTTCCAAACCAAATGTCTTTGTAAAGTATTGTATCAGCATGTGGTCTGGGCTGGGCTGGCCAGGCCATAGATCCACAGAGCCCATGGCTTACAAATAACCCTTGAAGTTGAAGTGAGTATTTTTAGAACAGAACTAGTTTAGTCTTGAATAATATGTCATCAGAATCCAAGTGTTTGAAACTCTCCCCTCATAAAAAACAAACTGACACTTTTTTAATTGAAGTTATTTCTTTCATAAAGGTCCAATATGCAAACACCACTCTTGTGAGCTTTAAGCCACCTCAAAAACATAACCCTGGAGTTGTGTTTTGTTTCATTCACCCATGTTTGAGTAACTCTTTAGTTTTCTGTCTACTCCAATGCTCAAAATGTCTGTTCCACCTTGTAATGTCATGTCATGGTGGTGTTCAAGTTAACAGCTACCTTTTACCTTTAGTTCAGTAGAGATTGGCAATTCCAGATCTGAAGCAGGGCCTGGTTAGTACTTGGATGGGAGACCACTGAGAAAAATCAGGTGCCATAGTGGGGCACCGGTTTCAAAACAAAACAAAACTATCTTTGTGTCCTTAGGCAAGACACTTCACCCACATTGCCAAATATGAAAGTGGGGTGAACATGAGTGTTGGTGGTGGTCAGAGGGACAGATGGTGCAGATTGGCAGCCTCGCATCCGTCAGCCTGCCCCAGGGCAACTGTGACTACAGTAGTAGCTTACCACTTCCAGGTACTGACTGAATGAATAATGAACCAAATTATAAAGCAACTTTGAGCGTCTGGAAAAGTGCTATATAAGACTCATGCAGTACTATTAAAAAAAACAAAAAACAGCACAGGGCTATAATTTATACTTCAGAAATACAGTAACTCTTAACTGTAATTGCATTAGTGGTTCTGAAATCACCCATAGTAGCTCTAACCCATTCTCAATCCTGCACTAAAAGCTGCTGAAAAGCTGTGGTTTCCAGCTATCCGCACAAAATCAACTCAATATGAATGAATTAGTGAGCATTTAAAGTTATATTAAACTTGTCTATCTCTTTGCAAGTCAACCATCATGAATAGCTCCGCCGAGATGTTCGACATGCACTTTTATTCCCTTGGCACGTCTTTGAATCCTTGTTTTAAAAAGAAAAACATGTTGTAAAGGTCAGTGTGGATCTCTTCTCTCCCACTCAAGAATAAAGTCAAACCAAACAACTGGCAGATGAGCTCACCCCTCCATCAGATATTCATTAAAAGTTCTTTGTCTTCTAAACCGCGTTACTTTGATGTGGCTGGATAAGTAGCGTATCTGGGCGTCGCGTTGGCAGTACTGATGAAGTCATAGCATTCTCTGGGGAAGGTGGAGGCGCGCGGGCTCTTTGTGCGCGCTGAATAATTGAATGAGACAACCTTGGAGCATTTCATATCAGCTCTCCACATCATCAATCAATGCCACCATTGCCTGTCTCATCCCGGGGCCGACCACGATTTAAAACACTAAACTCATTACATGTGCGCAGCGGATGCTTTTAGTGACTTAAGTGCACGCTCAAAGGTGATAGTGATTCTCCGTGAACTGCAAGAGTATCTATGTTTGACTAAGAAAGATACTGTATAATGATTTGTATGGAAATTCAACATATCTGAGCTGAAGTGTGCTATGTTTTTGTGAATTTCAGTTTCCTGTTGTATGTAATATTTTGAATGCTTTTTCTCATTCAAAAGATTTTGTTTTTAAACCGTTAATCACTATGGCAATGGGCCTAAATTCTCTTCATTCTGAAACCCATGGTGATAGGTTTGGAGAGGTTAACATTGGCTAGGGGTAGCCAGGCTGCCGCCACCTAGTGCCTCCGCTCAATTTCATTTCTCTCCAGCGACTTGGTCAAGAATCGGAATACACTAAACGGTTTGCAAGAACCCTGGAAGTGCGAGTCCGGACACCGGCCAATCAGCGAAGAGCCATACATTCTGTGTTGGCAACGATTCCCGGGATCGAGGATTTAAAGCCGGAACAAAGAGAATGTTTGGTCAATTTTATTAAGGGGAAAGACTTTATGGCCCTTCTTCCTATGGGATTTGAGAAAAGCTTAATATACCAGTTAGTCCAGTTAGCGACACATTACATATGTCATGACCAAATAGCAGCAATTTGTTAAATAAATAAAAGTACCCACCTATTGTCGAGCAAACGAATCCTAATGCTGCGAGGTCAGATGGTTTCCACGAAGTGAAACCAGCTGATGAATCAGGCTAGGTTAGGGGTGGATGATGTGCCAAAAAAAAAAAAAAAAAAATCAGCCATTTAATATCTTAAAATTGATTTAAGGCATAAATCATAAGTCATCTACTTGGTCTGAAAGTTATCTCTGCACTATGATTGGTTAAATCCAGCTGTCAATCACTCATACTGACCAATAGCATAAGTGGGTTGGAAAAAGCACCTGCGTTTAATAATGAGTTACTGCATCACAAAATAACGATTTCACAAAACTGGATGTTGTCACAGGGATCAGATTATGATTTGATTTTATTATAGTTATTACGTTTCTACTCTCTCCATAAACAAGTGAAACTGAGAACTAGTTCATGAGTAGATCCAAGCATACTATTGTGTCATTGAGCATTTAACCTGTGTAGACATAAGCATAAGCCGATATATTTTTGGGCAGCTATGTGGGTCAGATTTTATTATTTTCCTCAACTTTAATGTGTTAAATTTACTGCAATCTCACCCACAGCCCCTTTCTTTCTTTTTTTAACCACAAGCCTATAAGGAAACGGTTTAGTCATGTTTTCTGCTGTTATCTCTTTGTACTGAAGTGCTGAAATAAATCTTTATGTGTATTCTTTACGCAGCAGGTTAGCCCAAACAAAATATCGACCCGTGCTCAAGATTTAAGGCCGATAGCTGATGCGCTAAAAAGTGGAAATATCGGGCTGTCTGTGAAAGTAGACTCCAGCGACAAGGGTGGGCGGGGCGTGTGGGTGCTCGGTGAATGACTAAAACTTTAAAGCCCAAATTTCTGCGCGTACACTGTCTCCATCATAACTTGTTTATATGGTGTCAAGGATAGTGCATTTCTCGATCAAAGAGATTTTGGAAGTTAGAAATTCACGTTCAGATTCAGCATAATGGGCTTTGTCGCACAATAAGAATACAGAACACTTGTACGTGAACCTTCCTTCAAGACCTGTAACTGTACTGTGCTACTGACTTTTTGAAATACATAACAATGATTTCTCTCTAATCAAGATTCAGACAACCCAACCCCAAATACATAAATACAGTATATTGAAAATGCACACGTACGATCAATATTCAGTTGTAATGCATTTTGTACACAATATCTTGCCCTGGGCTTGTGTTGTAGCTGCCCTTTTCTCACAAATGCCTTGCCTGAATAAAATCTACAAATCTCAGTGGGAATTTGCTGTCTAGTTTCTGAATAAAATCGAAACTCAGATAAGCAAATCTGTTTTATTACTAACTTGATTTGACAGTTTACATTTTTTTGTTTTATCCAGTACCTTTCTCCAGTTGCATTAATTATCTGCACTAATTCTGTTTCGTCTGTGTTTTGATGTGTTTTACAGATATCGACGAGTGCAGTATAAATAGAGGAGGTTGTAAATATGGCTGCATAAACACACTGGGCAGCTATGAATGTACCTGTCCTCCTGGATTCAAACTCCACTGGAACAGGAAGGACTGCATCGGTATGTGGTTACACTGCCCTCTGCTGGCTGTTCCGAGATCTCACGCTTGACCCAATACTATTTCTGAGTGTGTGGAAGTTGCAGTAGCATGTTAAATTGTTGTATTTTCCAGAGCTGGTGAAATGTCCTCCCGGGCTTGTAGCTCCGAAAGCGACTCTGACCTGCAGCAAAACAGGCAAAAAGGAGAGCTGCTCCCTCACATGTGCCTCCAAAGCTCACTATCTAGCAGGTAGGATAATTTTGTTTTATTTTGAACTAATAAAACAAATATGTGTATATGTATATATTGTGTAATTGCAATATTAAACTGCAATGCTATTATCATGGACTTGTATAAATTGGACACTCTTTGTTTTTATCTGGCCGCATATGTACACCAACTACATTAACCGTAATATTTTGCTCTATTCCCAGCAGCTAACATGAAAAGTTACCATATTATGCGAATTTATTCTAGTGAGCTTTAAGCCATGTTAGAATGTTGTTACCTCATCAAAAACTTAACCGAAGTTGTGTTTTGTTTCATTCACATATGTTTGCATAATCCGTTTATTATTAATGTGTACGTCTCCAAAATTTGAGGGAAGAACTCAGCCTTTGTGTGTTATGTGTGAATGGAAAAAAACACAAATCCAGGTGAGTTTTTGATGAGGAAACAATCTCATAAAATTTATCATAATTTTTGAATTATGATCATAACAAGGTTCCTCAGGGTCAGGTCCAAACAGCATTTCAGTCTCCCCACTGACCTCCCCAAGGTCTTAAGCTATTCTGACTTTGTTTATCACTAGTATTGAAATATCATTGTGTATAGTTTTGTGGTGATGACTTTTGCCTGTGTGTTCCAGAGTCCGATAACAGTTACTCTGTGAGCTGTGGCATCCCCATCCTCAGAGGGAAGAGCTCTCCCTCCAGGCTCAACAGCAGCAGCCAGACATGTATAGGTCTGTAACACTCTGTGCCTGCACTGTAATAACCTACAAAAAGCATTTGAAACAGTATGTGGAACTTAGCATAACATTTAACAACTTAACTTAACATTTGTGTTAATATTTTTAGAACTACACATTTAATAGTCTTAATGAAGCACGGACAAAGTCTTTATTCATAATGCACATAATTTATTAAGAATGATATAAACTTTTTAACTAATAGCCTAATCCAGGGGTGGGCAAACTTTTTGGTTCAGGGGCCATATAGGGCTCTAAAAATTGACAGAAGGGCCGGAGAGGAGGCAGAACGTGTTAAGAGCCCGGCTCCATTGCACTCGTATTTACGCTCATGTAGAACGTATTTGACACTAGGCGCTGCAACTTCTGGAGACGCAGAAGTTTCAGAACGCATGAGGAGTGAATGAGGTCTGCTCCACCACACACCACATGAGAACATTAGCCCTACGCGGTTAGATCATATTACTAAATTAAGCAGTGTCTACTCCACAGTGTCTTATCATGAATGCATTCACCAAAAAGGGACTACCTCTACTGTACATAATTGGTATTAATTTTAACATTGCATCTGAATCCTTATAGACTTAGCATTATCACCATACGAAAAGAGACAATGCCCCTTTATATCTCGAACACTTCTACCTCCATCATGGTCTGAATACGCCGCCCAAAAGAATACTTTCCCATAAAGCATTGCGGCCAACATAATGCACCTCCCCTTAATGTATATATATATAGTGCGCCATCTACTGGGAAACGCGGGAAATGCAGGAAAAATAAAACAGTAACAAGGTTTATTATTGTAATTTATTCCAGTTCGCCGAACCTGAATAAATTACTTTAATTATACTATAAGTTCGGCGAACTTGAATAAATTATTGTAATTTATTCAGGTTCGCCGAACTTGAATAAAAGACAATAATAAACCTTGTTACTGTTTTATTTTTCCTGCATTTCCGGCGTTTCCCAGTAGACGGCGCACTATATATACATTGAGGGGCGGTGCATTATGTTGGCCGCAATGCTTTATGGGAAAGTATTCTTTCGGGCAGCGTATTTGGACCATAAGTCAGGTAGAAGTGTTCAAGATATAAAGCTGCACTGGTTCAGCTTATGTATACTTCAAAAAAAAGTCTGAACTCTGTACGTTTCAGAATACCTGTTCTGATCAGGACAGGCTTTTAGGATCTTTAACAGAGGATCCCTAGTTATTAACGCCCCAATTGTGTTACGGTGGATGAACTTCCTGACTCGCGGGCCACATAGGGGCTGAAGGAGGGCTGGAAAGGAAGACAGGACGTAACTTGATAAGAGCTCAGATTTGTTACGTTCTTCACATTTAGTTAAGACTTCAGACGCGTGCTACACGTTCCATCACTGCTGTGAAAGATTCAGAACACATAAATCCATTAAGACCTGTTCCACTGCACACCACTAGTGTAAGTATATCATGAGTTCACTGTTCACAAATATGACTACTAACAGCTCATAAACTAAGCTCACGCCGAACAACCACAAACGCACGGAAATGTTGTACACGTTAATAATTACAACCCGGAGGCCATAAGTTTTCTTGATTGATTTTTACAAAGTCAAATAGGAAGCAGTGCAGTCTTATATCTTAAGCACCAACTACTTCACTCATGGTCCGAATAACTCCTGTAAGAACACTTTCCCATAAAGCATTGCGGCCAACCTAATGCACCGCCCCTCAATGTATATATAGTGCGCCATCTACTGGGAAATGCTGGAAATGCATGACAAATAAAACATCAACAAGGTTTATTATTGTAATTTATTCCAGTTCGGCGGGCCGGATTAAAAGGTTTAAAGGGCCGCATACGGCCCCCGGGCCGTAGTTTGCCCACCCCTGGCCTAATCCCTTAATTCAGTAATTACTATGCCTTTATAAATGCCCTAACTCCATAAATTAAATAGTTACTAAGCCTGAATTATTCTTAATGAACTATTAATAAACTATTTGCTCATTATGAATTAAGTCTTTCTTCACACATGTGATAAACACTGTAGTGTTTATCCAGTCTCCACTTAATAATTCTTATTCACAACACAAAATACTGATGAACTTTGGTCTACATGTTATGCATTGTTTAGTTTGTTTAGCTTTGTAACTGCTTTCTAAAATATAAACCTTTTGTTTTCTTCAGTAAAATTAATTTGATGCTTGCTGTTACACACATCACATACATTGTTTAGAATATCAATCAATCTTTGCACACTTTACTACACAAGGGGACCAAAGTACTTTCCAATAAAATCAACACTATAAAAACATGCAAAAACATTAAACAATGAAACATAAAACCAATTGTTGTGACACTCCATTACTGAATGTTAAAGCCAGTCTGAATATAAAATGCATTATTGAAGGCAGAAAGTGGAGTTGTATAAAAAGTGAAAAGTGTGTGTTTTGTTTGTGCTCACGGTGCTGTGTTTGTCTGTAGAGACTCTGGCCCCTCCAGTGAAACAAACAGCTTCTTTCAAGATTAAAAACGCCAAGTGCCACCTGCACCCCAAACTGACGGGTCGCACAGAGGACCGCGGGCGGACGCTGGGACCTGGTCTGTCTGCACAAAACTACTACACTTTTAAATAGAAAAGTCTTTATAGGGTCATGTTCTGCAGGTATTGGCTTGAGATTTTAGATTGTAATCATGTCTCTTTCTTATATTGAAGTGGAAGTATTACGTTATCTATTTAATTGTACATTTATATTATGCAAAAACAAAAAATATGCAAATTGTCCCCTTTGTTTCCTTCTGTCTATGTGACATTTTTGTTGAAATTTAGTTATTCATATGTCAATCAATCAGGAACACTTTGTTCCTAAGGGGTAATTTAATCACATTGCGATGTAAAATACAATAACAATAGAAAAGCTCAAACAAAAGTCTCAGTGCAGCTCAACAAGAACAGTTATTATATACAGTACTGTGTTAAGGCACCTTGAGGAGAGTAGCAGCCCTCAGGACAAAAGTGTCTATATTCTTGTTCCTAAATATCTTCTGTACACTTTTATTTAGATTTTATAAAATTTGGTAATTTATTTAGGTTTATATGAGCAAAAAGTCTAGAACTACCCAGATCAACTTAACATTTACAATGGAGTCCGTTTGCACACACAGTCAATGGCTCACACTGGTGCTGGTTTGATCCAGTTTTAGTCCTGTTGTAGACTTGGTCTGGTCCTATTCTAGTCCTGGTTTAGTCCTGGTCCAGTCCAACTTTAGTTCCAGTGTACTGAACTGGAGCATATCCCCTGTCGGGACCTGGTGTCTGTATACACACTCTTTATTATTGGAATTATTGGGACCTGTTTTCCTTAAAGGGCCAAATATGAGGTCCCTGTGATGTAAATCTTTTATTATTAGATCAACAACATGCTTTGGGTTATATTATATGGGTTATAGTAGGTTAGGATTTTGGTTAACATTAGGAACAGTCTCCAGGTAAAGAATGTAAGTCCATGTAATATCCCCAATAAGCATGGAAACCCAACAGGAGTGCGTGTGTGCTGTGTGTGAACATGTCCTTAGTGGCATGGTCCACTATCCTGATATATTATTCAATAACACCACAACATTCTTAGATAGTCATTTAGCCTGCCTAACACTATCCACCTGTAGAATACCAATGCCACGAGTAACCCAGCTCCTGAATGCTTAATGATTCTCCTCTGTGTGTGCAGGAGGGGGGCAGCCCTGTAGTAACTGCCTGGTCACATTTGTCAACCTCAAATGTGACTCCACCAAAAAATCTAAAGGCCGTCGGGCTCGAAACTCTCCCAACAAAGAAGTGACGCGCATCACTCTGGAGTTGGAGGCAGAGGTCAAACCTGGAGACACCACCGGTCAGTGCAAGTGAACTAATAAAAAGTGTACTGTGGTAAGATGATTGTTTAGAGTTGAGCAATGAACAGAAATATTTTTATATACAGTACATGTAATCAATTATTTAAAGATTAAAAGGTGTTTATTTGATTTTCATACAATGCATTACTTTTGTTATAAACTAAATAAATGTAACAGTCATTTTAAAAGCCTGCATTTTGCAGAAAGCAAGACCCTTAGAGATAGTTTTGCTGAGAACTAAATATATCCAATCTCCACTGGGTCTTGTAACTATAAAATATGCTAACCCCAGACATCTACAGGCATTAAAAAAGGAAAAGGAAAAAGGACTGTGCATACTAATGAACATTTGTAAGAGATGTAATAGTTGTGTTAGTTAAAGGTGCAAGCTAGTGGCGGATCCTCCACTAGAAAGGTCATATACTTTAAGCCGTAACGTTTCAGTCTTACAATTTTTTTTCAACCCTAAACTTGTTATATTTCCTCATGCCCATGTATTCCTGTTACTTATACTTATACAGGGAGTTGTAACCTGAGTTGCCTCAGACAGCGGATGGAGAAGCAGGTGAAAACGTACATCAAGGCTCTGAAGAAGTCCATAAACCAGGAGCGCTTCCTGATCCGAGTGGCTGGACTGGAATATGAGGTCGCACAGAAGCTCCCTCAGGCCGCTCCCATCCAGGAGGTCTGTGGTCCAGGCTGGGAGAGGGACAGCGGGAGATGTGGTAAGAACAACAGGATTTTAAACATAGTCTAATCTGCTTATAGAGAGTCTAAAATGGGTGCAAGTGAAAGACTTTTTAAAACTCTTTTTACACACAGTGAGTTCTATCTTTTGGGGTTTATTGGTCCAAAACAATGGCTAAAATACAAAAAATGCTTCATTAATGGAGTATAAGTTTCACAATAAAATATTATTGGGCCAAATCATTTATGTGACTTATGCCTTTTTAAAATAGTTTTCCATGACAACAGAGTTTCTTTTACTAATTAAGAGAACAAAACATGGACTTTTTTTTCCCCACTCCGTTTTTGAGAACTGTGCTTTTCTGTTGCATACACGATGTGACTGTGTAAATGATGCTGCAATGTTTTCCTTGGTACAAACTCAATCATTTATGAAGTTCCATACTTGTGGCCTTCCCCTGACTAAAGTTGTCTCTGCTGTTTCTCTCAGTCAGATGTTCTTCGGGCTCGTACTACCACGGAGAGCAGGAGCGCTGTGTGTCCTGTCCACCAGGAACCTTTCAGGAGAAGGAGGGGCAGCTGGCCTGTGACCTCTGCCCTGGAAGTGATGGACACGGGCCAATGGGAGCCAAGAACATCTCCTCCTGTGCAGGTGGGGGCAGTGTAGAATGGGATTTTTTAACCTGGGGTATGGGTTTTGCAGATGGTATCATAACAAAGACTAACTAACAACTAACTAACTAACAAACTATTAGTTTGATGTGGGGAGTCTGAAAACAGTTGTTTTTACATGAACACCTGTGCTGGGTTTGGGAGATATGTAATTGTTTTTAGAGCTTATCATGTCTTTAAGTCAACCAAGAATTTCTTTTACTCACCTACAGCCACATCTCTACAGAATTGGACTATTTATACTGCTTGCTATACTCATATATATATATACTGTTTTCATTGTGTTGAATTGAGTTTTTTGAGCCTGTTGTTGGTTTCCTCCATGTTTAGGCCAGTGCCCCACAGGCTTCTTCTCCAGTGATGGTTTTAAGCCGTGTCAGCCATGTCCACAGGGGACCTACCAGCCGGATCTGGGCCGGACCCTGTGCTTCCCATGTGGAGGAGGACTGAGCACCAAGAGGGAGGGTGCCAGCTCCTTCCATGACTGCGAGGTCAAAGGTCAGTCTCATTTGTGTCAAGTTTATGTATTATGAGGACAAGACATTTCAGTTGTTTGATAAAGCATACATACAACTAAAACTCAATGCCCTACCTAGAAAAAACTGTTCATCTCTAACTGCTGAGTTGGAAAAAACATGTGAAAAAATGCATAAATAGAACTGTTTCTCAAAAGATGATCAGAGAGTTCTTAAAGGAACTGCGCATAACCTGCATTCTTACAGTTTAAGTAATACAATCACAACTGAACCTGAGATGCCAGTGTCTTAACTTGCCTATAAAGGACACACACGTTTTTTCTCTTTCTCAGTATATGGACAGCGCATGCGAAATCATCATTTCCTCACTGAGCTACAGAGGCTACACTAGCACTGATTGGCTGTAGGGTTTTGTGCACCATGCCTACTTTAGTTGAATATTTGCATATTCTTTTATTTATTAGGATCATCATGTCTACCTGAGGTTAATTGCCTAAAGACATGTCCTAAAAACAATGTAAATAGTACTGTATATTTACAAAACAATTCACAAAAAATATTTGATGAGACTGTTATAGGTGCTGGCCTTTTAAAAATCTACGCTTTTTATCACCATTAATGATATTATTGTTTATTTGACCCATCCCTATTAACTGACTAACCCAGGTAGATGTAGGAGAGGAATGCAGAATCAAAGATCTATATTCTAGTCATGGTTATTCAAATTAGCTTACATCCCTACATTTTTATGTTGTGTAATTTTACTGGATTGTATTCTTCACCAGATCTGAGTCATTCAGGTGTAATTACATCTCAACATGTTCAAATGTGTTCCAGTCTTTTAAATTCTGAATGAGTAATGTTTATGTAACCACATGTAATCCTACAATGGTAATGCCCAGCCCTGTACTTTGATGCCACTGCTCCTCTTTGAGTATAGCTGGGTTTTAGATGACATCACAGCATTACAGCCTGTTTATTTTATTCGACTTGTCTTTAGCAAGGGTGTAGCATTATTCACTCAATTGATAATCATGAACCCTCAAAATTATAATAAGGCATAAAAAAATACCTAAACGTACAGTGAGACGATTAACATTAATATTACTTTCTCACTCAGAAAGTTTGATTTCATTAAGCCAGTCATACCAGATGGATATTAGAATTTTATTGCTGTTTGATCAAATAACTACTTTAATTTCTTGTAGTTCAAGGTAATACCTTACTCCATACAGTTTATTTTGTTTGAAAATAAATATCCTGAATGATAATGCATGGAACTATAAGGGAAGCAACTACCAGTGACAAACAATTTAATCCATATGAACTATGTGTTTTTCTGAACTCATACAAACGACCATTTTTAATATTTGTACATTTTAAACGATATACATCTCATAAATTGAATATTTAAACTGCATAAGAACACTAGCTCCTGTCCTCATGTGAAGCTGTGACTTCCTATTTCCAATCTCGAGTCTGAAACAACCAATTCCTTGTGTTGTGTTTGTTGCAGTCCAGTGCTCCCCGGGCCATTACTACAACACGTCAGTGCACAGGTGTATTCGCTGCCCTGTGGGAACATATCAAACTGAGTTCAGACAGAACTACTGCATCACCTGCCCCGGAAACACCACCACTGACTTTGATGGGGCCACCAGTGTCTCCCAGTGCAAGAGTGAGTACTGCTGTTACTAGAATTAAGGAAAAGGAAAAGTCTCAGCTGTCAATAACAATTTCAATACTACAATTATAACATGCCACCTGCTTGTCTCCATGGAAATGGGTTTGCTTTGCCTAGTTTATCTACATGCGTATAGGCAGAAGGTGGGTGACACCATCAAGTCACTGGTCAGATGAGTGGAGAGGCAAGTCCAAGCACAGTAAAACTGCATGTTTTTCAATGTATTTTTGCATTGAACAAATGCAACATAGGCAAGTTTAATGTATTCTTGTGGAATTCCAGGCAGAACAGTTCAACAAAGCAACATCTCCACAATGATGAGCAGGTGGCTTATCATCCACCTGAAACATTACACCTTTAATATGAATACAAATACATATTTGATAATTGCTATGACAACAGTAATTTTCATCACATTGAGACCCATGGATATATGTATTTTTTCAGTGTTGAAACCTGCTTAAATTAAGATGTAGTTTCGACACTAGTTTTACTGTTTACTCTCTCTCTTTTTTTAACAATTGTTAGAGTTAGCCCATGAAAATAACTGTTTTGTATGTACAGGTAGTCTCAGTACAAGCTGGAATCTCATTACTTTTGTTTGTGTACGTCTAGACAGGCAATGCGGCGGTGAGATGGGCGAGTTCATGGGTTACATTGAGTCACCAAACTATCCTGGGAATTACCCTGCCAACGTGGAGTGCATCTGGAATATTAACCCCCCGAGCAAACGCAAGATCCTGATCGTGGTGCCGGAGATCTTCCTGCCCTCCGAGGATGAATGTGGAGATGTGCTGGTGATGAGGAAAAACTGTGAGTGTTTGCACCCCCTTTGGATCTGATAGTGTAATTACAAGCAGAGATGGCCTGTATATGTCATCAATAGAAATCTGTTCCTTGCCACCTTGATTGCAGTCTAGACCTGCTTTATACTACTGTAACAGTTTACATATATACATAACAGTATATATATGTAACAGTATATATGTATGTGTGTGTATTACAGGGATGAGGCAAGATCTTGCAAGATCAAATAGCCTTGCGAGATTTTATCTTTTTTACATTTGGCACGGGCATGAAAGGGTTATGCATCTTGTTCAAGCTTTGGAAAGTTAAATATCTTAGAGCAGTTGTAACTAAAAGACTCTTCCACATATGATAAGACCAATATTGATGCAAATAATCACTGCTGAAGTTGGTTAAAAAATAAATAACATAATCAAATGTACGCTTGTCTAATTAACCCGCGGACAGCGCGAACCATGCTGTGTTTTTCCACGCTTAAATATTGTTTGAAAAAGATCCACAAAGAGATATTTATGCCTTCTTTATCCACAATAACTTAGCTTAAAGTGAGAAAGAAGAGACGCGCTCCTCTTGTGTCATGTCTATGCCCCTCTGCATCATGCACATCTGTAACTGAATTACTGCAAGATAAGTTACACATCATAGTGTGAAACGTTCCAGCCAAAGCAATATTATTCATCCACTTGAAAAGTAACATAGTGCAGCTTACAAGTAGTTAAATATTGACTATTTTTCTTAATTATGGTTTGTTTTCTATTAAAAGGGTCAGCAACTTCCATCACCACCTATGAGACGTGTCAGACGTACGAACGCCCCATCGCATTCACCGCTCGCTCCAGACGACTGTGGATCAACTTCAAGTCCAATGAAGCCAACAGCGCCCGCGGCTTCCAGATCCCATATGTCACCTACGATGGTACTGACCAGACTTTACAGTGTTTGTCCAATGTGCTGATTCCATACAGTCTGTAATAATAAAAATAGTGTTCTTAATAATTATTATGTTTTGTCTTTCAGAGGACTATGAACAGCTCGTAGAGGACATAGTACGAGATGGAAGACTCTATGCTTCAGAAAACCATCAAGAAATCCTTAAGGTTAACAAATGTTTAATTCATACAATTTCCTAATACATAAGGTATAATCAGCGAATGCATCAATATACATGTTTCATTATGTGTAATTACAACAAATTCATACACATAGTATCCTATCTTGTACTGATTTGATACTTTGCAGCTAATGTCATCAATATTCCCTGGGGGTGTGATGCTAACTATAGGCACTATTCTGTCAGAAGCTCTAGTAGACTTCAATCTGAATTTTAAAACAATCTAAAACAATCTAAACAATCTGTTAAACAACATTTTGTTGGACATCAAACCCCTAAACTGAACATGAATGTTCTTATTGACATCACGTTTAGTATGTTTTCTTGAGTTTTAAAAGTTTTTCACAGTGCTGGCTAATGTTTGCATTGTGTCATCATGGTAATTCTTGAACCCCCAGCTTGATGTCACTGCAAAATATCAATTATATTCACCAATATAGTACCTTTCACTATTGAAACACTGACAAATATTGACTTCTGTATACTTTCTTCATTCTTTAAAAAGTTCTATATAAATAATATGGATTTGGATTGAAACAGACTTTAAATCAAAAGTTATATAATTTTCTGCATATTACCCTCATTTTAATAAGTACTCACTATCTATCTGTGCCTTGTCTCCACAGGATAAAAAACTTATTAAGACTCTTTTTGACGTGCTGGCTCACCCAAACAACTATTTTAAGTACACCACTCGGGAGTCCAACGAGATGCTCCCACGCTCCTTCATTCGTCTCATCAGCAGCAAAGTCTCTGCGTTTCTGCGACCATACAAGTAAAGACCCCTCTACCACGGAAATCCTGCCACCCCGGCCTCTTCTGCCCCCCGACGACCAAGGCTACCCCCTCACCTCTCCCAGGACTTGTTACTTTCCACACCCATAGACCCATAGACAGACAGGAGTTTTACAATAGACACTATGCAGACCTGAGACTGATGGTTGGTTTTGTATTTGTATTTTTCTCTCGGGGCAGGTCTGTCACCCCCAGCTTAAACATTTGGTGGATGTAGAGGATGTCTGGGTTGAGTTGGTGTTGTCTTGTGCAAAGAAACCACAAAAATGCAAAGTGGTTGTTGTTCAGTAGGAGTGACTGTGTGTGTGGTTTGAGGTTGATATTGTGTTTGCTTAAATGAGTCTCCAGCTCCTAGCCTTAAAGGTGCACTGTGTAACTTTTCCGATAGAGCAGTCTGTTTGTCTCCATGGAGATGTTATATGCATTAAACGTATCTAGCCCTATGGATATAAGTAAGTTAGAGTTGGGATCTGTGGAGAGCTGACGCAGCTCACAGTAACTATGTTTTTACAAATATTTTTTGAGCAATAAAACACATGTAGTTGAAAAATGCATGCCAGATACGTTTAGCACCATACTGTGGAACATTCCATGCAAAGCAATACCATCTCCATGGAGACAAGCACTGTGGACCCACCACCAGAAAAAGTTCCATAGTGCACCTTTAAATATGACTGTTGCGTGTCGTTTACGTGTTGTAACCCTGAAGACATCAGTGTCTAAATGTGCTTTTCTCTTTGGGAGCTGTTAAGTCCATGTAGCAGATATGCTCCAGGTAAAGCCTTACGAAACCAGAGCTCTTAGAGCAGTGTCCAACAGTAATACTGTCAAACAGTGGATCCATATCCCTATGTCCAGAGCATTACAATACTGTGCAAAAGTGTCAGCAGGGTTAAGGCTATTAACAAGAGTTTCAGTGGTCTAAAATAGGATGCAGAAAATTCTAAACTAATCTAATTTCTAAACTCAGACTCCAAAGAGGCACCGTAGTCTTTCCTGCAATAATCAATATGTGCCCAGACCTAAATGAAACTCCCAAGATCTTTGAATTTAGGAGTAAATATGGTTTCTGTTCTTTCTATCACATTGCATTTTAGACATCACAACATTCTATTGTCCCATAATATTTCAAGGCAAGTCATAATGTTATTGTTCATATGCAAACTTTTGTTTGGTTGGTTCATCATTTGTGTTTGTTATGTATAGGTAAGCCATGGGTTTCAGAATGTTGAAGTTAGGATCATTGCCATATCAACAATTCAAAACAAATGATATATATCTTTTTATAAAGGCCACAAGTCCTCAAAATGGCTCCTATAAACAGGACATTGAAATCCATGAATATGTAAAACCTTTTAACATAACTTTTGCAAAGTATTGTATGTAATTTGGCTGGCCTTGTCAGCAAAAGGCAGATATGAGACTATTTTATCATTACAGATTCAACTTAAGGACAATGGGAGAGCGTAGTATTTTTGAGAGCCACACAAACAATGTAATGTGATGTCTAGATGGAAATGTCTGCGAGGGACATTATGTTTGCTGCTTCTTATAACGGTCACTTTATGCTCCAGTCCCATATCGTCTCATGTGCGTAAACAATAAGTCACATTTCTCATCTGTGTACTAACCGTTTGTGTGTTTTCAATTGTGTAAATAAGAAAAATAGATGAGGGTAATTTCCTTTTGTCCCATCATGCCCCTTTTAAATCTCCTTTCCCCCCTTCCTTGCCCAAAGAGTGCGCCCTCTGTTGACCACACTCACAAAATGTTCTGTCCCAATGAAACCAGCTCTTCCAAAGACTGCCCCCATGTGGTATCTTATGTTTAGTGCACTAGATTTAGAAGCTGTCACTATACACTACCTTTTCTAATGCAAGTGCAATGATAAAACTCCCCGGCCATAGTGATTCAACAGCGTGTTAAAATATGTGGCTAGTTTGGTCATTTCAAAAGCCGAAAAGTGTATCTGACAGTTCTATCAATTTGTTGTATCAGTTTGGTTTCTGCTTGGTTTCAAATGACATAAACACCTTTAATATTGTAGATTTAATTGAGATGGAAGGCTTTGGAATATCTGTAACAAGGTGAGTGAGTAGTCAAAAACTGTATTCAAGTAACAGTACAGTTACTTAAAATAATATTACTCAATTTGAAGTATACACAAGAGTCTAGAAGAGAGGATTAAAATTCTACTTAGATGTTTCTGTTTTACTTTAAAGCATAAAAAAATCTTGCCTTTTAGGATTTTGTCAGTGGAATTTGATAAACCAATGTTTAATTAATGCACAGATTCTAATATTTTCAAAGTATAAATCACAAATTAGGGGAAAAAACATATAGTAAGATGCAAGTGTTTAACCTTTACTTGAAAAATATATGTTTAAACTTAATACTACACAACTCTGGTTAAGAAAATTAATGAGCCTGAACGTTTAGAATATTAATGACTGACAGTAAAGCAGTCAAAAATAATATCTCGCTTTGAAGCCTATAGAAAGTTCTAATGTAATGTAATGTTGTAATGTCATCTGAAATCCTGCAGCTGACCACCAGATGTGTCATGTGGCTGCTCTTCCCCACAAATATTAACCCTCAAAAATTAAAAATCAAAAATGTATGTTTTTTGTAATATAATTTTTGTGATTTTAAAATGGGACCAAAACAGGGTAAAAGTTAAGTATTTAAAGTCTTTGTTCCATTTCATTGAAGGCATCATGAGAAAATCAGATTCCCATTTAGTTGTATTGTTCTTGTTCGTCCTAAAATGTGTAAATAAATTCTGTGGGGTGTTAAACTGTATGTCAACACAGATCTTAAAAGAAAGGGAGTTTTATATAAAAACTTTGTGGGAGATTGAGCCAAGTAATGAAGATTTAGAAAGCTCTACATTTATGTCAGATGCCCTCCCTGGCCCCCTCCTGCAACCTGACGTTATGTTGCCTTTTTCAGAGAGTTTGCTATGATGTATCAGAGTTGATGATGATATTTGCACTTGAATTGTTATTGCTCATGTAAAAATTCTGGATTTTGTATTTGTCTTTTTAAAAAATGAATGGAATTGGTGTTTTTATTTTCTTGTAGCTTGTTTGTTCATAAAATGCTCACTCACCATGTAGTCTAGAAAAGATCCACTTAACATTATCAACTGTAAAAAAAAAAAATCTTTACTGTGTACAAAAGATAAATGCAACAGGTTTGTACTTGTTACTACTCAAAACACTTATGAAATAAACATACTGTACGTAAGCTGAGTTTAACACATTTTTATGTCTGCAGTGCAATTACGTGTGTGTAAATTTGAGCAAGTCTTCCATCGCGCTCTGGCTAGCCTCTTCGCTGAGTATTCCAAACTGAAAAAGAAGGAGAAAAAAACATGCATAAGTTACAAAATCTAAATATGGAATACCAAGAATACCTTTTAATTTTGTGACTAGTAATAAATATAATAAATAAAAAAGAAAAATGGAATATATTCAATGCATAACATTTTTTGTGCCAAATGGGTATTTTGGCGAACAAATAAAAAAAATGAAAAGAACATAACTATTAACTTTAAATGTACAGATATTTTTTGCCAATTAAAAAAATGAAAAGCGAGTGGGGAAAACAAGATCTGAATTTTAATTGATTCCATCCAAGATTTGGAAGTTTGTCGGATGTAGATTAAGACTGAGTCGGCCATCTCCTAGCCTTACATTTTATTGATTAAACCGAGAGGGGAGGGGGAACACCTCTTGCTTGTTTCCAAAGAAATGATCAAAATGAAAATGTCTGCTCTCTTACCTTTGCATTTGGGCAGTTCTGGAGCCCACTGTCCTCTCTCGTCACAGGTGATGGTGCTGGGGCCCACTAAAGTGTACCTGGTGTTACAGTGGATGTAGATGGCGTCTCTGTACTGATATCGGCCTGTCCGGCTTCTTACAAACGCTGCATTGGGGATGTTCGGAGTTGGACAAGTTATATCTGTGCATGAAGACAAAAACAAATAATTTTGATAAGAAGTGCTTGAGTAGAAATAAAGTGATAGGGTTGTCAAAAGTATCAAAAAAACATCATATTTGGTGTATGAAAATTACATTTTATTACGAAAAACGTTACTATTGTATTTGAGTATTAAATAAATTCCTTAGTATTAAAATTGCTTGAAATTTTAGTGTTGTGACAATAGATTTTATAATTAAAAATATCATATTGTGTCACATATGTTAAATTATTAACCTTTGCACTGAGGAAGAGGAGAGCTCCATGTCCCATTCATTGTGCACCAAATGTCAGAGGGTCCCATGAGCGCCCCCACCAGGCAGCGGTACGTCACCACAGTCCTGTACTCAAATGGAGCTTCTGCGTAACCAGTGATCTCTGCATTGGCCAATTCAGGGGGGTCATCACACGCCATAGCTGCAACAGGCAGATTCTTTTTTTTAACATTTACTATCATTTACATCTCGTCCATCAGATTATTTGTGTTGAGTCAGTGAGCCATTTGTGTATGTATTTATTTATTTGATAGGGACAGTGCATATTAATGAACATCTGTTACATTAACAGCATAAATGTGCTAAGTTAAAGCAAAGATGGTAATTTCCATCTGTTAAACCACTCAACCACACACCACATTCATACTAGGTAAGGTAGTGGGTGAAGTGCCTTGCCTAACGATACAATAACAGTTTGCATTAGAGCCACTGCCCCATCTGTCAATTTCTGTGGTCTCCCATCCAAGTACAAACCAGGCCCAACCCTGCAGAGCACACCCATTATTTTTACTACTTCTACATTTTATATTCGTCCAAAAGACATCAAATACAAGATATATGGGATCATGTAGTAAAAAAAAAATAATAATAATTCAGCATTTTTTTTTTTTTTTTTTTTATATTCAAATCTCAAAGTGGCCACCCTTTGCTATGTCAAAATATATTTAGTTGAGTTGTTCAGCTTTTTTTTCCCCTTTGCTACATAATTCCATAATATAGTTGTCCAGCTGTGCTAGAGAAAGGGAAGTAACAAAAACCAAGACGGAAGAATTGTATAAATAAAGAAGTAATTAAATTAACAGGAATGTACAAGGTTAATAAAACAAAAGGAGGGGTCTAAAATGTTTACAGAAAAGGTCATTTACAACATTTTAAACAAAAGTAAAGGGCAAGGTTAACGAAGACTTGACAAACAAACACAAAGTTAGTACTGACAAACGAGTGTCTCAGAAACACAGAGACACCACAGGGACAGAAAAAAAGACACATTAAATCTGAAACTAGTGCCCCTTTTACAAAGTCAAGTGCAGAGACTTGAAACATACTGTAACACCCCCCTGTCCTCCAGATAGGTGTAAGAATTCACAGGTTGGGTTGCATAAGGTTTGAAATGGCTGCACATACAAATGTGGCAGGTTACAAAGGCCTGGGGCTGTATCAGTACTTCATATATCAAAAATGTAGATGTAAATGTGACTTAACCTTCACAGACGGGATGATGCCCATCCCAGCCTCTGCTCAGGCAGTTTCTGGTGGCCTGTCCGACCAGCTGATACCTGTAAAACCACATGGAAGACTTATTCTCAGTCTCTCTCCTTTTGTAAAATGTGTCAAAAAGTCAAATCTGAATAGAACACAGATGAACAATGCCATTAGCTTGATATTTCTTCTAAAAAGACCAGGTTCCAGTCAAACTCCAGCATCTAGCCTCATCAAAGTGAACATTATTTTTAGCTAATAAATATACAGGATAATTTTAATATAAAAAGTGTACCCCTCATCACACACGGCTGTAGCACTGTCTCCAAACTCGACCCCGGTGTATTCATAGTGTCCATTGAGGAGTTCCCCCGCAGAGCCACACAGCCTCCCTGTAACAGCACATGCTTTTTACATGAAGCTAAAATGACAGTTGTAGTATATAGTATATAGTCATAACAGAGTTAGCTGTAGTGTTACTTAGCTGAGGTTAGCTAGGAATTGTTGCTGCCAGATAATGCTGATCAAAAATGTATGCTAGAGTTTGGCTATGGAAATATTTAGCCCCATAAATACTGGCTAACAATCATCTTATCCTAGTAACTACTCCACAGTTGTGAATCAGTCTCTAAAAATGTTCTGTTCTTTTCAGAATAGATCGACTTTCTGTCCCAGAAGTTCTTGTCCTGACTGCATGACACTTTATGACATTGAACAAACTGATAGAATACAATCCATGTATCATTCGTTCATTTGTTTTTCAATATAAAACCAAAAATAAGAAAATGAAAAAACAACAGTTTTCTTCATTATTTGTCTCCAAAACCAAAATGAAAAACAGATAATGATTCGTTTTTCAGTTTTTGATTTTGCGTTTAAATGAATAAATATAAAAAAACAGATAACAGCCGTTTCCCAATTACGTGACTTAAACTGCGATGCCGGACTGAACCAGGACTGAACCAGGACTAAAACAGGACTAAACCAGGACTAAACCAGTACTAAACTGTTTTCAGTCCTGGTCTGGTCCCAGTTTCAGTCCCGGTCCTGGTCCCAGTCTGGTCCCAGTCTAAGTCCTGGTCTCAGTCCTGGTCTGGTTCCGGTCTGGTCCTAGACCTGTTTTATTCCTGGTTTAGTCCTGGTTCAGTCCTGGTTCAGTCCTGGTTCAGTCTGGCATCGCAGTATAAGTCATGTAAACAGGAAACAAAACCATTTTTTGCATTATTCATTTAAACACAAAATTGAAAACTGAAAAAACAAATTGGGGGGGTTTGGAGACAAATAATGAAGAAAACTGTTGTTCTTTTTTCTTTTTCTTATTTTTGGTTTTACATTGCAAAACTAATGAATCATACAGAGATAGAATACAATAGGTTTATGAGCTTTCACTCTTAAACTGTCACACTTGAAAAGCTATTTGAGTTCTTTTCTCAAACTAAAAACACTAAACTAAACATCACCTTGTGATATCATGTAGATTCATGTGGATAATTTCAGCCCCGAAATTGTGAATCTCTACAGAACTAAAGGTAAAACATAGTGGTTAACTTAAAAACTACCATTTCATGACATCACAAGGTAATAGGTCACTAAGGTCACTACTAATAAAGGATTTGTCAAACATGTGTGAATGAAACAAAACACAACTCCAGGTCTGTTTTTGATGAGGTAACAACATTCTAACATGGTTTAAAGCTCACAAGAGTCAATTATGTGTAACACCCCTTTAAGAGATCCCGTCATGCAGCTTGAAAGAGAAAAAGTAACTACAATATATCCAAGATTTGAATAAATGTGTACTTTAAATATTTGAATACTCAGTGTTTACTCTTTCGGACAGTACAATTTCCCATTCTACATTCAGATTGTTCTAATGCGTCGGTGTAGATGTAAAACACTCACTTCTGCACTGTAGTTCCAGAGGCGACCACTTTCCATTAACACACCGGCGATACTTGCTGCCTCGACTGTGGACATAGCCCGTATCACATGTGTAGTACACCTTCACCCCAGCAGCAAAGGACTTCTGGGAGCTGAACTTTAAGGCCAGTTTAGCATTGGAGCCCTCTATGTTCTCTGGCACACCACATGGACCTGAAAAAGAAGTGTAAAGGTTATGATCCTGTACATGGCAGGAAATCAGTTATTCTCTTAAGGAATAAATATTAGTCTCATCTTTAGAAACCAAACATTTTCCAACTGAAAACTAGAACTATACCAAGATATGCCTTAATCCCAAACCACAACTAAATAATAAAAATCTAAACTCCAGCCTGTTCAGTACTAATAGAAATAGAATAATAGAAGGGAATGCTAAAAAACAATGCAAAATGGACACTCAACCATAATAATATTGTTAAAATGTATTAATTACAAATAGTTCTTTTTACAGTACAGTGAAAGTGTTTTTTGTGACAGTATGTTCTGTCAGCAGCAGAGACAGAACCTCCCTTCTTCAATTTAGTACACCAAGTTACTCCTTTGAGCTTTATTCTACCTTGTGATATATACTATGGTAATACAGAAAGTGTTTTTAAATTCCATACACCTTTACTAGAATCATTTGGATGATTTCTGACCTGGAATTGTCAATCTCTACTAAACAAAAGGAGCTGTTAACGTGAAAACTACCACTTCATGACATCACAAGTTAGAACGAGCATTTTGATCTTTGGAGATGTAGACAGACTAATAATAAAGGATTAGTCAAACATGTGTGAATGAAACAAAACACAACTCTGGGTCTGTGAAACAACATTATAACACAACTTAAAGCTCACAAGAGTCTATTTTGTTTAGCATAGGACCTTTAATAAGAGAAGTACTTCATTGGTACTTATATTTATTTTTTCTTTGTGTATCAAAAGTAGTTTAGAGAATCATACTTTCATCCTTGGTATCAAAAGTTTAAAATGTTAATATTATAATGCAGAGGTGGTCATGACTTGGGACTCAACTTGGACTTGAACACCACTGACTTGGGACTTGACTTGGACTTTGATGCCTTGACTTGAAAGACTTGATGCTCAAAATTGTACAGAAAATTATAGAAACGTTATTGATTAACGATGACCCGCCTCTGTTGATGATGATGATGACACCACTTCTCATATATTGTATTACTCACTGTTTTTTGAGGGTGCGGGCACACACAGAGGAGGAGCAGGCTTCCACTGTCCGTTAGCCCCACACGTGATCCGCCCTTGTCCGCTAATCTGGAAACCCGGGCTGCACTTAACAGTCACGACAGCATTGACATTGTACTCTCGAGCAACGCCCTTCTTCTCAGAATTAGACACTTTTGGAGCGGGACATGTGACTGGGACTTCGCCCTCTAGAAACACAAATATAGTGATTCACAGATCCATTTGAAAAGCAAAAAGGAAATAACACCAAGATTTGATAAATTGTTCACAAATACAGACGACATGATGAAACAGCGGTGAAATCTTTATTTTTCTTTAATTCCCATTGTTTTATGTAACTCAAGTATGTAACCAGCCTAATGACATCCAACTTGAATGATAAAGTTGCATTAGACTGACATAACCAGCCAGATAAACATTACGATCTTTTTCCCTGTAGATCAACATTATGATAAGATTCCTACCCTTCTCACCCCACCCTCCCCTCCATCTAGAGCAGTGCTTCTCAAATAGTGGCCCCCTGGGGGGGGGCGCGAGGCTCCGTCAAGGGGGGCGCGTTTGACCTCGGGGAACATGCTTTTTTATTTTTTTATTTAGATTTTTTTTACTGTCTTAAGGGCCGTTCACACCAAAGCGTCAAAAAACGCCTTGACGCCTCTATTTGGAGCCTTTGCATTTGAGTTCAGACGCCCCCGACGCGCGTCTTTGACGCTGTGGACGAACGGGACAAAAATACTTGACGCGCGTCCGTTGCCCTGGAAACGAGAGCCCGGTCCCGGTCTTTTCCCGAAACAATGTCAGACCAGACTGAGAGAGTGTTTTTATGACATAAAACATCAACGGAGGAGATCGGGTCGACGACTGGGGCGTATATATTTATACTCCGCTAATGACACTGGATCAGTCCCGGTCTAGTCCTGGTCTAATACCGGTCTGGTCCTGGTCTAATCACGGTCTAGTCCCGGTCTAGTCCTGGTCTAATCACGGTCTAGTCCCGGTCTAATCACGGCCTAGTCCCGGTCTAGTCCTGGTCTAATCACGGTCTAGTCCCGGTCTGGTCCCGGTCTAGTCCCGGTCTAGTCCTGGTCTAATCACAGTCTAGTCCCGGTCTAGTCCTTGTTTAGTCTCGGTCTAGTCCTCGTTTGGTCCTGGTCCGGTCCTGGTGTAGTCCTCGCGATCGGCTCGGTGATTGTGGCGTATATATTTATTCTTCGCTCATGTTTGTGGTTCTCGTTCTGGTTCTCGGGTCTTTCTTCCTGATAACATGAACACGCCAAACAAAGTCCGACTGAGCCATCTAACTGTTGTTTCATTTAATGCGCCTTATAGTCCGGTGCGGTTTATATGCAAAAAAAAGTTTGAAAATAGACCATTCAATGACAGTGAGCCTTATAATCCAGAGCGCCCTATACTGCGGAAAATAAGGTAAATGTTCCTATAGATAACCAGATACAAAGATCCAAGAAAGGTCATAAAAGCTCCACAAATCTATTCAAGTGTCCTCCTGCAGTACTATTTGAATTAAGTGCCCCAGTGCATCACAGTCTACAGTCCGAGTCATCTCCAAAACCAGTCATTAAGGTATTTTCTACCAGTACTTGAGTGAATATTTTGAATGAGTCACTTTGAAATAGTTTTACTCTTCGGTATATGTTACTCCTACATGTGTCAAAATGTGCGTCAGTTAAAGTGAAAGGCTGTTTTGATAATCCACTCATTAAGGTATGTGTTCATGTGCTTACAAATATCATATACTTGTTACTGTGAGATTTTAGAGGGATTCGATTAGATTAGAATATATTATGAGGTTTTTCCAACACAAAAATATGTGGACTGCATTGCATCATGAATTGTGCGTAATAAATTATACAGGCTGACTAGCAATGGTGATGATTGATTTGAACACTGTAATTGTCCTTCAGCCGTAAAGCCGTTTTTAATCTCATACTTCAAAATGTAATCATAGACATTAAAAGGATTAAAGGACTTATTATAACATGTGTCACATCCACTTGTTTGTCACAGTCTGAGCTTGTCTACATTGTGTAACGATTCTTTTGGTACTAAGCGTTTAATTAAAACAACAGACACCAACCTTCACATTTGGGTAGGTCACTGGGCCAGCCGTTATGTCCACACTCAATAACTTTTGGTCCTTTGACAATGTATCTGTGAATAAAACAACAAGTGAAACACGCAAGCTTTTAAGACAAGATGTGCTATGTAACTTTTGTTGGAGGATATGTTATTGCTTTGTCTGAAATATTCCACAACTTGACATTATCTCCATGGAGCCGAGCACAAGACGCTACCAGGCAAAGTTACAAGTCTGATTTTTTTTTCAGTGAATTCCGCAATTGAATAAATGCGAGACAGATAAGTGGAATGTCATACTGTGGAAAATTCCAGAAAAAGCAATGTCATATCCATGGAAACAAGCAGAGAGCGGGAGCTACACTAGGAAAGTTACAATGTGGAACTTTAAACAAAATCCTACCCATCTCCACAGACAGGATATGCTTTGGTCCCGAAGACAGGTTCTTCTCCTTCGTAACTGAAATAACCGTTCAACAACTCTCCGGCATTGCCACATGATTTCTCTGTAAAAAAAAAAAAAAAGGCAAAATGATCAAATTGTATCATCACAATTATTCACGATTTTAGATTGAAGTGAAATAGGCTACTTTTAAATTTCCTTGCTTGTTGTTATACCGTCGTCTATTTACTTAAGGTTTGTTAAAATTGTGCAGACCTATGCAATTAGGCTTTCAGCTTTTCTTTGATACATTGTCCTAGTCTTACCGCTTTGTTTGGAATGTTCCACAGTATGTAATTAAACTCATCTATCTCTGTCTATCTATCTATCCAGTTACAAGTTAGATCTTTGGAGCGGTAACCCCATTCAGTAATCATGTTTCTTTAGCAGTAAGCAAGTCAAAAGAATCGAACATCTAATACTAAAACCAGTAGATACTAGTAGTAGATACTAATTTAAGTAAGTATCAATACCAAAAAACCCCAAACAAACAAAAAAACATAACTTGATAAAACTGGTCTTTTCTGGAAATGTTTCATCTCGAGATTTATCGCAACTAGTGTGAGATCCCATGGTGTAATAAAAATGCAATGCTTTTGTGTTGAAAATTGCAATTGTGTCTTTTAAAAATTATCTTTTTTAGACATGGGTACCAAAATCGGTATAGAATATCAAGTCTGTTCTTTAGTATCGAAATTGAATAAGAATAAGAACAGCTTTGAACAGAGACAAACAAATGGCAGACTGTGTGACTTTAACTTTAGTTTGAGCATGTTTTTGGTCAGAGTCACTGTCTCGATCCAAGTTTTACACAAGTCTGTGAAACTCTGTGCACAGCAAGTAATTGTCAACAGCCTCCAGGAAGCAGACCTAACAACTTTACACGTGAACCCTAAAGTATTATTTAAAACGTGTGTCCATTTGGGCCCGGTGTTATATTTACCAAACTATATCTGTCTGTTATTGTAAAACATTTGACCATATGACTCATGAACATGGAAATATGAACTTAAAATAAAAAAAAATAAATAAATCAGCTTGGCCCTGTTGACAGCAGTGCATAGTTGAGTGTAGATAGCAGCCAGATGGCATTGGTCTTGTCCTTTCTTTCAAACTGAGACACTGTTTACAATATTCAGGAGTAAATGGCCTTGCATTTTCCTATAACACAAGATACATTCAAAGCAAACTATTTAAGTTTATCAAGCAACTGGAATTGTTATTATTTGAGCGAATATTTGGCTGGCCCCGCTATAAGTTGTCATAATTTTCTTTGATAATATTTGAAAAACATACAGAACTTAAGTTAATGTTTGTTGTTTCAAGCCATGGAAATAACCGTTTTTCTCGTTTTTCATTCTAGCCTGCGTATTTTCATCTTATATCAATAAAACATCACATCCATAAACTCAGAGTGAGCTTATTTTAGTTCCACTGATTATTTGGATATGATCTCACTCTCACTGCACCTTCACCTAAATAATTTCTTAGTGATTTCTGAACAGAGGAGAGGGATATTTAACTTGTAGTGACTTTGAAATAGTGTATAGACTTGGACTATGTTTTAAGAGAGTAAAAATAACAGTAGTCAAACGCATTCTTGTCATATTTAGTCTACTTTGGCATTGCAGAGTCTCAGCCTCAAGAGACACTGCCCTATTGTCCGCCTGAGCACCAATTAAAAAAAAAAAATCTAAATCCACACATAAACTATAAAATAATTCCCCGTACCATCAGCAAAGCCAAGAAACTACATTTTTTAATTCAAAAGCTGATGAAACAAACCACCTATGTGCCCCTATATCCAGCCTAGGCGAACTTGAGTTTAGGGCCCTCACTATAATGCACTGTTTTGTTGTTGTTTCTTTGTTTTTGTTTTTGTTTTAATATTTATTGTCTGTTTTCCCCCATTGTTTTTGAGACATGTGCATCTCTATTTATTTGAAATACGCTGGACTGGAAACTACTAGATAACCAGAGCTGAAAGTAGTTTTATTTTTTTCCTAGTACAATTACATTTTTGTTTACATCCATTATATATGATTATGTTCAAAACAGGGTCAAGCTCACAGTCCATTCTAAAGTGAAAGGGGGGAATGCTTTGACAGTTAAAATATATGTGACAATCAGATAATATTTTGATGGGTTTTTTTTGTTTGTTTTTTAAGTGAATTACTCTCATTTAATGTCATATTGAGAGAAAAATCAAATTGTTCTGAGGCCTCGGCCATTAGTGGTAATGGCAAGGGCAATTGTTTGGGGGGCTTTCCAGGTTCGGGGGCCCTAAGTGGCTGCCTACTTTTGTTACCCCCTCCTCCCTGGCGTTATATGTTGTTTAACTCACACATTTGAGTGAGCCTGCATTTTTAGTCTCTCTATATCTTCTAAGATCAATATGCTCTGTTCCACCTTGATGTCATGAAATGGAAGTTTTCAAGTTACAGCTACATTTACTTTTTAATTCAGTAGAGATCAGCAATTGCATGACTGAAATCATCCAAATTGGAGTTTATCTTCTTTCAGTTTGAGAGAAGAACACAACCCAAATATCCAGAGTTGTTGTGTTAAACATGCGTAAATAAAACTAAACACAATTCCAAGTACGTTTTTGACGAGGAAAACACATGTCAGAAAATAGCATAACACGGGCCCTTTAAGGAATCTATTAAGCCTTTTTTTATTGTAAAATACTGGAGGGATTAGAATACATCATAGATTACTGAGGCCTATTTTTGTACCACTACTTAAATGATTATTATGATCTCACTCGTTCTTGCAGGAACTTTGAAATAGCGCAGGGCTATAGGATTGTTTTAAGTGAGTAAAAATACCAGACAAACGCATACTCGTCATACATACTTTGGCACTTGAGGGTGAGGCTGCCCCACCGTCCACCTGCGCACCGAACCACCGGGCTGCCTCCGTACGCCTCGTGTCCCAACGCGCACTTGAACAAGGCTGTGTCCCCATTGTAGCGCATCAAAGTGGTGTCGGGATACTCCGGCGGAGACGAGCAACCGCGCTCTTCTGCAACTAAACAAACACTACCATCAGCTACATCAAATCAAAACATACTTATCACGATGTTTTATGTGTGTATTTTACCTGAGGATAGAAAAACGTACGGTAAAAAGAATATAATCCGTGCGAAAGTCTTCATGGCTGTGCGTCGTTGGAGTAAACAAGCGTAGAGGAGGGACGGGGTTGAGTGGCACAGGAGAAGCGGATCAAGCAATTTATAAGAAGGGCTGGAGCTGGTGCAGGGAGCGTGGGCAGCGCAGGGGGCGAGACTGCGGGGAGGGAGAGGACAGCGGGCTCCTGGGAAATCGTGTAACCTTCAAATTGAAATAACTTTTAAATGTTGATACTGCGCACTTACCGTAAGCCTGCATTTTTCTGTGGCCAATTCAGAAAATCACTCCAAAGTTTTTTTTTTTGTTGTTGTTGTTTTTTTTAAGCTAAAATGGAATAGTTTGTGTCTGTGTGTGTTTGTGTGTGTGTGTTATGTAAGCCTATGTGTTAATGTTATTGTAGGGCCCACTAAAAGGTGTGTATGCTGTGCAACTTTTCTGCTGAAAGTTTCCCCACCTTCTTGTCTCCACGATGTTATTGATGTGTCTGTATGTTCCACAGTGGACTCACCTAGCTTACTTCATCAACTCACCAACTAAAGCTAAATTACAGGCCAGAACAGTGGAGAGACGAACTCACTCACAAGGTGTTTTTAGCTATAGAATAATGCAAGATAGACAAGTTTAACAGCAAACTTTGGAAAATTCAAGGTAAAGTAATTTCACCTCCATGAAGAAGGGCAGTGGTGAACCTCCACCAGAAAAAATCATAGTGGAACTTTAAAGGGACAGTTCCGAATTTTGGACTCATTTCCTAGTGAGCCACAGTTTTTTTTTTTTTTTTTATATTCCATCCAGTTCTTATATTTGCAGAGGTCGCTGGTGCTACACTAGCACATGTCAAAGGCCATAGTTAGCCTGCCACTAAAAACAGTCTTACCTACTCCACAAAGCACCCGAAGCAAATCTATTATTACGCCAGACCATTGATGTAAACGTCTGTGTTGATAGAATAATGTTTGAAAAAAAACTAACCTTGCATCGCCTGAATCATCGCATGTTGAGGGACTATTTTCTCATATATCAGTCCGCCACTGCCAAGCTTTCTATCAGAAAGTACAACTCACTGCTGCTGCTCAGACATAAATCCTTCAAATGCAAGGTTGATTTTACCTCTGAGATTATTCTATCAACACAGACATTTACATCGACAGTCTGATGTAATAATAGTTTTGCTTAGGGTGTTTTGTGGAGTGGGTAAGACTGTTTTTAGCGGCAGACTAACTATGACCATTGACATGCACTAGCCTAGCACCAGCAACCTCTGCAAATACAAAGACTGGATGGAATATTTAAAAAAGTGCCTTCACACATCTCCATCACTCTGGCTCACTAGGAAATGAGGCCCTATGTCCATACATTCCAAACTGTCCCTTTAATTGCAACTATAATGAGAGGAATCAGAACACATTTTATTGCCACTGTCTGTGAACAAAATTCACAAACTAGGAACTTGCTTCAGCATTATGATGCAACATAAACTGTGATCACATTAAAATAAGGGCATGTATTAAAACAAGGCAAAAATAGATGTTGATATATGATACAAAATATAGAGCAGGACAGAATAACAGTACAAAAACAGCGCAAGTAGGTTAAGTATAGTTGTTTAAAGGTTTTATATTATGCAAAATTGACTCTTGTGAGATTTAAACCATGTTATAATGTTACCTCATCAAAAACATACCTGCAGTTGTGTTTTGTTTCATTCACACGTTTGAGTAATCCTTTATTTTTAGTCTGTAGACTTCTCTAAAGCTCAAAATGCTCTCTTTCACCTTATGATGTCATGAAGTTATAGTTTTCAAGTTAACAGCTACCTTTTACCTTCAGTTCAGTAAAGATGGACAATTCCAGGACTGAAATAATCATTCTAGTAAAGGTGTATGACGATGCCCATTTGACATCACAAGGTTGAACCAAGTGTTTTGTGTTAGAGAGAAGAAAATATCCTAAATATGCAAGATTTATGTGTTAAACATTTGTGAATGAAACAAAACACAACTCTAGGTATGTTTTTAATGAGGAAGCATTAAAACAGATCAGAAAATAGCATAATATTTTCCCTTTAAAGTGGTATTATGCTACTAGTCTATGGGATCTAAAACCTCATTTATGTATGTAACTTTAGGTATATATGTACAATGAATCAAATGAAATATATTGAAAAATAACCCTCTTAATGAATTCAGTGAGGTAATCATCTGATATGGTCCTATTCTATTTCTCTCTGTCCGCATTGTCCTTGTGGTGATGCAGCAGATTTTCAGAGTGGCTGTTTTATTATGGGCTGTATCGAGCCAAGGCTTATTCAGAGCTTTTTATCACAGAGAAATTCAAGGGCGATTTATAAGCAACAAATATATGGCATGAAATGTGTAAACTCTGCAGTTATTGTCATTGTAATGTCTGTGAATGTTACTTTATTCTTATTCATAGGATATTATTGCAGTTCTTAAAGGGCCCATTTTACTTTTTCTGATCTATGTTATGAAGTTGTTTTCTCATCAAAAACATAACCAGAATTGTGTTTTGTTTCATTCACACATACATATATATACACACAAACTCTGCATATTTAGGCTCTCAAACAGAAAACACTCTATTCCACTTTGTGATGTCATGTGGTATTACAGGAAGTGATCCACTGTGCCTGTAAACTTCGTACACCTTCAGTAGAATCATTTGGATGATTTCAGCCCTGGAATTGCCCAATTCTATTGAACTAAAGGTAAAGGTAGTTGTTAACTTGAAGCTACCTTTTCATGACATCACAAGGTGGAACTGTGCATTTTGAGCTTTGAAGATGTAGACAGACTAATAATAAAGGGTTACTCAAATATATATAAAGAATGCTTTTACACTGTTTACACAATCAAGAAGTAGGTACAAGGCTTTCTCATGATAGCAAGCATTTTTATTTTTTGTAACTGGTACAAAACCCTGTGCAGTAACATTTAACATTTGTTTTAAGACATTCTATTTCACATACTTTGCTTAAGATCAATAAACTTTAACATCAAATATTATCTTACATCAATTTTACGATTTCCTGTTGGTATTTTTTATCAAAGGCACAAATTGTACTGTCTGGGTCAACAGTATCAATGCATGTTCAAAACAATCTACCGATTATAAGGTCACTTTCTGATTGTTTGGTTTACTGAAATACCAAAGTGTCCTTGAGAAGAAAATTTGATACAGAGGAGGCACCAGAAACTTGCTTAACATATATCTGCTCAAATGCTCTTGGCCAAATAAAAGTATTATACATTTCAAATTAAACTTTTTACATTAAATCATTGTACAGAATGTTCCACAAAGAGCTTTATCGACAGTAGAGAGGCACTGGAGCTGAAGACCTGAGGATCCAGTGAGGTATACAGACCAGGGCTGCACTACTTTCAAATAAATAATAATACACTTCAAAATATTAAATTAGTTTTCAAATCAGAATTCAGTTCAGGGCACAATAGAATCACTTTGAGGAGAATTAACTTGTGAGAGAAGACTGAGTGAACTGCTAAACCAATACAACAATCAAATGCTCTCCAGACACACAAACCTTGATTTGTGGGGACTTCCTTTTATCTAAGTGATTACAACAAATTCAAATTTCGAGATATTGTGCAGCCCTGATACAGAGAACATGCAGCTACATTACAGCAGGATAAGCCACAGCAGTAGTATGCAGTAGTATACACCTTTAACAAACACATTAACAATATTTAGGTTAGTTAGCAAAGAACTTTTATATCAAAAACACACCTTCATTCAGAAGATGACTATGCACAATGTTCCCATTCAAACTACTGGGGCCCAGAAAAGGGGAGATTTTTTCCTATTTTGGGTGAAGTCTCATGAAGGATTTACCTGCTGCCAATTGAAACACATAAGATTTAAAAGACTTTAAAAAGTAATGTTGATTAAATATGTACCTTGCTCCTTTACATATTTCATGTTAATTGAATGTATACACTTAAATAGACTAACCAAATATAAAAATGTGGTCTGGATCAACATAAAATATTTAAAGTGGGACTAAACTCCTAAACTCTGCCCACAACCACATTTTAAATAGACAAATAGAGCTGCTAAACTGGGAAGTGCCTGGAGGGCAAAGAGTGAGGGCGGAGGAGGGTTGGGGTGTGAACATATGAGGAACACTGTGAATGCTTAATCAGGTATCCACATTTTAAACTCCGCCTCTGCAGCCAGGTGTTTGTAACTAGAAACACCTGGCTGCAATCAGGGCAGTCCTGTGTGATGTCACGTAGTACTTGAAATTGCAGTGGCCACTTGTATCTAGTTAGCACAAAAATTTACAAAAAAAAAACAAAAGAAAAAAAAACTAAGTACAGTTGATAATGCTATTAAAACACCATTCACAGTTAAAGCAATTGGATTTTGTGTTTAGTTACACCTTAAAAGGATAAGAGGTCAACATTTGTTTTCTTTTTGGAGTGTACAGACATGGAATAAACGTCTACAGAAAAACATTAAAACAAAAATAAAGTCACAGTAATTTGTAACTATATGTAACCTAAAATATTAAGACAATAGACGGTAACAATCTAGTTAAAGTTGGCCTTACATTAAAGAAAAAAGCTACGTATTTTCTGAAAGAAGCTGAAAGCGTAACTAAAAATATATCTACATAAATATAACATTAAAACTGTTTACAATAACTAGTTGGTGTTAGTTGTGTTGGTACCGTGCAATAGGCAATGTGTTTGGTTTCTTCAAATGAACACATGTTGGAGAAGTACAGTAGCTCTTCTGTAACTCCTTTAAGACTGAGGTGAGTCTGAGTCTTTCACTGCAGCAAAACCATTTAACATCTCCTGAAAAAGAGAGGGAAAACATGAAGCAAAATAAGGAAAGGGCAGCACTGACTGGGCACTATGAGTTTGTTTTTACTGGCTCAGAGACGTGAACCGGGGCTAAAAGGTTACTTTAGCAAACAGACCACAAGAAGACCAAGAAGAGGTGAAGTCAGTAAAGAAGTACTATGTTTTATTAGCACATGTTCATGTAAACTGTTGTGTTCTCTTCTGTTCATGCATCTTTGAGTATTATTGCATATTTAGGCTGTCACTCTGAAGTTAAAAACGCTCTGCTCCACCTTCTGACATCATTAAGCGCTAATCCATGATGTATTGTTACCATTATGTAATGTTTTTAAAAATCATAGAGTGTCATCAGATTCATTGTAACTGCAGTGCTCAAACTTCCTTCACTAAAATCCATCTCGACGTCAGCCTAATTAAAGGTGGGGAAGTGGATTGAGCTCTTGTAAATGCGTAACTTTCTGGAGGTGGTTAAATGCCCCTAAAACTAGTAACTTATAGCCAAAGGAAGTGAGTCAGGTTTGTGGAATAGCAAGCCCACTCACAGTAAGGACTCACTCATGTTTTTCAGTGCAATAAAAATCTCCAAAGTGAAAAACATGTTTTAATTGTGCTCTCCTTTTTCTAAAATGTCACACAGTGGGGCGTTAATTGTAAAGTCTGGATAAAGCTGTTCTAAAGCTGTGTCTGCACCTGAAAATCTATGCATGTGAATACTAGTGAGGTGCCAAAGGGTTTGTGAGAGCTAGGAATAATCAGATACATTTAAATACTGATACCCCACTATTAAAATTGCTTCACTCAATTTCTTCTATTTAGTACAAGAGAGACCTCCACAAGGATGCCCTGCCACCCACATGTCCCTACGTTTTCATTAGTTTGCTCTTTAAAGGAATGCAATTACAGTTTTTATCAGTAGCTGCCTTAGTTTAGTATTAAGTGTGATAAAGCTCAGTTGAATTTTTTGTTCTTATTAGCACTTCCAAAAAACTGTATATTTAATCCCTAATACATTTGTAAATGTTTCCTAATATGAAATGAACTTTGTGTTGTCTGTGCCACTGTGTACTTTTGTAACATTACATTGAAAACAGCGGGCAGGAAACAGTGGACTTTGGCGGTCTTTTGTCATGATCACATTTTGTTTAGTTTAAGGGATGTGTGGATGGAGGTGAGTCACGTGAGAGCCCACTCCAAAATCAAGGCAGGTTTTGTTATTGTTTTTTTTTTTTGTTTTTTTCAAATACCAATACTATGTTGTCCAAACCAAAAACCAAAAAACAATGAAAGACATTTAAGTTTCCAGTAAGCTTTTCTAAAAAGGAAAACTAGTCACCTGGCTTTGAAGCTCTGCTTTTTCAGAAACTTCAGAGAACTGCATGCTGGGTAATGTATGCGTGTGAGGGATGCGAGTCTGTGAGGAGTTGCCTGCGCTGTAAAGTCGGGGTCTCTTGAACTGGTCCTGAGTCGACAGTGGGGTGAAACTGTTCCTCCGGAGGAAAGCAGGTGGCACCTCGTTCTCTGCCTTTTTCTGTAATTAAATTAAAATATCATAATATTTTATAGTTGAGCTGTTTTTCATGTGCATCACACTTTATACCTCATGTAGCCACAAAGCATGAACAAAGATTTATTTCATGAAGAACAAACACTTGTTCTGGCTTAGTAACTACTTAAAAATACCCTGAACTTGAGGATTTGTCTAGAATGTTCCACAGTAAAGCATTAAAAGTATCTTTCTCCATGGAGACAAGCAGGTGATGCTACCAGGCCAAGTTCCTGAGCAATAAAAACCCCTGCAATTGAATAACTGCAGGATAGATACAGTTAATGCCATAGTGTTGAAATGTTTAACATATCCATGCAGACAAGCAGGTAGCAGAGCACACCACAAAGGTTACACAGTGCACCGTTAACTCCTAATCCTAACCTCTGCATTAAGTCAAGTCATTCTTAATAATCTATTTGTTGTCTTTCTATCTTTATAAATCATGTAAATAGCATAGTTCTTAAAAAGTGTTATACTTTGAAAAACAATTAAATAGAAACTAAACTATAAATCAAAGGCACTGTTTTGGTGAGTCTTGTAAACAGGATATTCCTCGCCCAGTTTAACTAGAGCTTTCCATCAGTGTGTGAACACCCACTCTGTCTGGGATCATACAAAACAATGACCCAAAGATTTAAAATAGGTTTTAATGCCCAGCAGTTAAACAGATTATTAATTTTCAGTGTTGGGAGTAATGTATTATAAAAGTAATGTATTACAGTAATGCGTTGATTTTTGCTGTAACGCAGTAATGTAAGGCATTACAGGGGGAAAAATAGTAATATTTTACTCGGTACAAATGTGAGTAACGCGCGTTACAATGCTTTTTTAACCTGGATTGAAGTGGTGGGTTTTTCTTCATAGAAATTCTCAAAAATCACCGTGAAATCAGCAGCGGTCGGATAGACCTTCAGTTAACCACGGGTGAAAGGACTGACCCAGAACTCTATGCTGTTTAGACCTGGTTTAGACCTGGGCCACTTCTGGTTTAGACCTGGTTTAGACCTGGGTCACTTCTGGTTTAGACCTGGTTTAGACCTGGGTCACTTCTGGTTTAGACCTGGGTCAGTTCTGGTTTAGACCTGGCTTACAGTCGTCCCTCGCTCTAACGCGGTTCACTTTTCGCGGTCTCGCTGTTTCGCTGATTTTTAGAATTTTTTTTGTGTGCAATTTTGCATGCCTTTTGTTTTTAGTGTATGAACACGTATTGCGTTCCTCCCGCTGTGTCCTGATCGGCTAAGGGACTCCTGTCTACTGTACAATACAGTACAGAATATGTTCAGCTGCCAAATTTTTAAAAATTTTCAGTCTCTAGCAGTGTGATTCTGAAGTGCTGTATGTCTGCAAGTTTTCTCTCCGACAAAATCCACAACGTCGACGAAACGTTCTGCACCGACAAAGTCTCCTGCGCTCACACCCAAAAGGCAGAGGACGATGCAAACCATCGCACAAAAAGTTGGACTTCTGGACACGTTGAAGGAAGGTAGAAGTTACGCGCTGTAGCAGAGTTTTGCACCGGGTCTTGTACCCGCAAATAGTTGCTGAAATCAGGACCGTGAGCCCACGCAGCAGGGTCCATAAAGAACGATCAGGCGACAGACGCTCTTACCTCCATGAGGTGCGGAGCAAAGCCGCTCCTTTCTCCTGCGGTCACCTTCGAGCCCGTCCTGACAGTGAGTCCTGTTTTAGTCCTAGTTCAGTTCTGGTTTAGTCCTCCTCTTCAGTCCTGGAATCAGTCTGAGGTTAGTCCTGTTATAGTCCTGGTTTAGTCCTGGTTCAGCTCTGGTTTAGTCCTGGTTTAGACCTTGTTTAGTCCTGGTTCAGTCCATATACGGCTCAAAAGTTCAGCTTTTTTGCAGTTATTTTGGTGAGAGTAACTTAAAGTAATGCAATAGTAATGTAATGCCTTACATTTTAAATGCAGTAATATTGTAATGTAACGAATTACTTTGAAATGACAGTAATAAGTAATAAATAACGCATTACAGTTTTAAAGTAACTTGCCCAACAGTGTTAATTTTTCCAAGAAATATTTGTCCTATGTAATTTTGGTGTTTTGTTTCATTCACACATGTTTGAGTAACCCTTTATTATTAGTCTGTCTATATGTTCAAAGCTCAAAATGCTCTGTTCCACCTTGTGATGTCATGAAGCAGTAGTTTTAGAGTTACCTTCTAGAGAAATTCCAGGGCTGAAATTTTACAAATGATTCTAGTGAAAGTGTATACAGTTTAAAAACACAGTGGCTCATTTCTGGTATCATCACATACATCACAAGGTGGAATGGAGTGTTTTCAATTTGACAGAAGACTAAATATGCAGGGTTTGTGTGTTAACAAATAAAACAACTCTGACACAACATTATAACAGAAAACACTGTAATATGGGCCCTAAAATTTAACAGGATAAACGAAACAGTCACAAACTTACCCATATTCGGTCTCTGTGTGTGTTGACAGCTTTAACTTTTAAGTCAAACTCCTCTACTTTACAACCTGGCAAAAAACACAAGCAAAGCATTGTAATATAAAAAAAAAAAATAGTGCAATTTTTCTGTTATACAATAATGCATATCTACATTTTGATCATAGAGTAAACTTACCATAGGCCACTGGCGTCAGTTTTAGAACAGTGTGCAGGGGGCACTTCAAGTACGGGAGGTCATCTAAGGCAGGAGAAAGAAAAATTATTCTAACATTTCTGTATCTGGATATTTTTATCCCATTTTGTATGAGGTGCACATTTTCTACAGCAGCTTTGATAGTGTGAAATAGTGTGAAGTAAACAGATGACCACATCCTCTGTTGATGCACTGTCAGTCCAGAGGTAATTATAGACTGGGACTTTTTCCACTCTGAGTCAATCATTTCTCTGTGGCTTCTATAGCACCATGACATGTCATTCCAGACACACTTATGTAACCACAACATGTAACCGTAACAGCTCATTTGAAAAGGAGACAGATGACGTTAAAGCTGCACTATGTAACTTTTCTGGTGGAGGGTCCGCGACCTGTTATTATTTTGGCTGAAATATTAGACAGTATTAAATTGTGCCAGGCCAAGTTACAGGTCAGATCTGAAACCTCCTCAATCATAAGAATGCATATTTTTGAGCAATAGCCATGCACTTAAAGTTACATTTCAAAATCCTTCACTTGTTTTCCATCTATTGTCACCACCAGGCTCAGGCTCAAACAAAACAAAAAAAATACCACTGCAAGTATATCCACAATTATTTAAAAACACAATAATATATGATTTGCCCCCCTTTAAGGGTGCAACACCGAGTTACAGGACAGATCTGTGGAGAAGCAACCCCACTCACAGTAACTGTTTTTTTTTTTTTCTCAGAAGCAAAAAAAACTGTAATTTAATACATACAATAAAAGTAAGTTTAATGCCATACAGTGGAACATCCGAGACAAAGCAATAACATCTCCATGGAAAAATTACATAGAGCACCTTTGGTATCGCTTTGAATTCTGTTTAGTGAATAAAAGAAATATGTTTCAGTGCACTGTACCTGCACTCTTGTCCAGGAAGTAAGCCAGTAAGCATCGCATGACAGCCTGGTGACAGATGACCAGCACATTCCCCTGTCTCTCAAGCTCCATAATAACAGGCTCCAAACGCTGCACCAGGTCTTGGTAGGACTGTGCAAACACAACGGTCCAAATGTACAGTTAGTTTCATCATAGCTCACTCACAGGCTAAAAATATAAGAAAACATTCACCTCTCCTCCAGGGTAGCGATAGTGGTACTTGTCTTGGTTTCTCATGGCATATTCTTCTGGATATGTTTCTTCAATCATCTTGTATGTCATATCTTCACACACTCCCTGAAAACATTGACACTAGACATTAGACAGCAGCCATTAAATCATAAATGTGTACTTTTTTTTTTACATTTGTCTTCACATTTTAAAGAAGACATATTACAAAATAAAATAATGTCTACATTGGAAAACTACACCTCTGTTTCCAGTGCAATATTTGGATGTTGGAGTGCATACTGCTGTCACTAGTCAGAACAAACAACGGACCAAAATAAATAAATGAAACCACTTGACAACGCTACTGCTACATAGGAAGTTTTGACTATCTTTTTGTGTATATAAAGTTAACAGAACATACAGCATCAATTTCATTGAGGATCTTCCACTGCTCATAGGGGACCCCCAGCTCTTCTGCAGTTTGTATGGTGCGTCTGAGCTGACTGGTCCACGCTTTCAGGTCAGATACGTGGTGTTCTTCTACAAAAGTCTTGAGCGCCGCAGCAAACTGGAAAAAATAATCCCCTTTTTAAAATAGAACTAAACAATATTAGCTACTTTTATCTTCAGAATTCCTGATTACCTGGGGAAGTCAGAATGGACCAGGTTTACATTTTATCAATTGTAAATGTCATAATACAATACCCATGAAGGGTGTGCCACCTGCTTTTCACCATGAAAGTATGGCATTAAACCTGTCTATTTCCATGGAGACAAGCCGGTCTTGCCACCAGGGCAAGTTAACAGTCACATTTATGGACTGGTAAGAATGCATGTTTTTGAAGATATTTTTGAGGGGTAAAAATGCATAATTGAATAAATGCAAAAAGGATATCTTTAATACTATGGCATCATACTATGGCACAGTGTAGGTAAAGCAATCCCCATAGAGACAAGCAGGTAGAAAAGTTACAAGTTGCACCTTTGATAAAATAGACATTATGTACAGTTCATCAGAAGCACCTGTTTTCCGTTTTCTGTGAGCTCGGAGTCCCCCCCGATGCGCCCCTCCACGTTGTGGTGGCTCTCTCCATGGCGACAGAGGTAGATGGAGTGAGAGTGCACGTGGATGTTCATGAGGTAGTACACGATCTTACTCTGGATGTAATCCTGCACTTTGTTCACCAGAAACCGCCGGCCCACATTGATGACCTGGATAAAGGACAAGTCCCTGTGGAACAAAGAAACAGTAGAGACAGGATCAATGTGTTTGAACACATGTTGTGTTGGATTCTAGAAACTGCTAACAATGTCATACTTTTAGATGAAGATCACTATGACACACTTTGGGAAAAAAAAAAAAACTGAGGATACTGACCATCATACAATATCTAATACTTATTATGAATTAAATTGGTACATTTCAAACATTTAGACAGGCCTAGAAAATCCATATAATAAACCCCCTAGGACATTCTGTGTACCAATACCACAGTTTGGAAAGTACTTCTTTAATCCAAATGTATAGAAATATATGGTGAACAGGAAGTTGAGTGGATCATGTTTGTTAAAAATTGAAGGGAGGAGGATCCCTTCACTTTTTAGCAAACTTGGAATTATCGTGGCAAATTATCAAAGCGTTAACGTTTGATATGACCATTTCAATGTAGACATTACCCTCTAGTGGACATTTTTGAAACTACAATTAATAATTACATTTATTAATTGTATACTGAATTAAAATGTTTATTAAAACTCACATTTGTATATATCACGTTAACTGATTGCTTACTTGTCATGGCCGTCAGGATCCAGAGGTTTGTAGGTCACTTTGTAACATTCGATTCTCTTGAGGAAGTCCTCCATGACGCTCTCTCGGTCCTGTTCAGGGTAATCTGGACTGGACACCTTCACTTCCTGTTTACATGAACAAAGCATGAGATATGTTAGCACAACTGTGAAATAGCAAATCATGTCTAGCAATATCTTTTTTTTTATTACATGTATTAAAAGGTGTACCAAGTAATATTTATGGTGGAGGGTCTCACAATTACTTGTCTCCATGGAGATGTTGTTGCGTTATTTGATATGTTCCACAGTATGGCATTATCAATGTTGCATTTATTTAATTCACAGGCATTTTAAAACCAAAAAAATCTTATGATGCAGGTGGTGGAAAAGTTACATAGTGCACCTTTAAATTACAAGTTACTGAGCCACAATTCACCCTACCAACTATTGAGAACAAACTAATATTGTAAACGATATGAAGACTACAGCTAGTCTTAATCTTTAAAATATTCTTTAATACCATAGTAAGTTTTAGATGGCATTATATTCCTATTAGAGGCATAAAAGACATTCTGTACCAGTATGTTTTCAGCAATGACGTCAGGATCATCACAAATCGACTCAACAAAAAACACCTATGGAAAAAGATGCATGTTGAATGAATTATTTGGATACAATTAACACTGAAAACTCCATGTATATTGTTCTAACCTTGTAGGCATTTTCTTTGGCAAAGTTTAGAATGAGCTCTCGTCTCTCTCTGGTTGTGTTCGTAGCATCAAATACCTGCCAAAAAAGCAAACCATTCTTTCTAAGAATACATTCAGTTATGAGACAAAATCAAAAATTCATTCTTACAGCGATCTGTCCTCCTTCATCACTGAGATATGACTTGACATCCTGCAGGGCAACCAGGGCACACTGTCTGTACAGAGAAGAACACAAACGTAAACATCAAGTAATAACCTTTATGGCTTCATGCAGTTTAATACAAGATCAACACAATCACATTAACTATATTGTATTACACTGATATTACAAGGGAACAATATAATCTGAACTGAGCGCAGTAAACAAGTGCCATATGTCAGAGTTGCTGTGAATTAGAAAAGTAGAATTGAAGAGTTATTTTTGCCAGCACAAATTAGATGAACAAAATCAGATGAGGCTGTGCAGAACTGAGAAACATTATCTAATGCTGACTAAACTTAACTTTAGTCTCACTGATATTACATGTTAAAGGTGCACTATGTGACTTTTCTGGTGGGAGGAAATGTTATTGCCTGATATGTTCCACAGTATAACATTAATCTATTTTACATTTATTTAATTACTCAATACCTTGAAATACATGTCTTACAACAAGTGAGCTTGTCTCTCCACAGATGTATCCAAATGTTCAGTGCCATACTATGGAACATTCTAAATCAGGGGTGCACAATAATTTTTTTCCTTGAGGCCACATGAGAAACAGAAAATACTGTGGAGGGGTGGGTCAAAATGCTTAACTCAATTCTGCATAATATTAATTGTATTTCTTTATAAAAAGCAGTAAATATCATTGTTTAGATGAGCTGGTAAGACTGGCAAGAGTTTATGTTATGACTAAGCAATGAAAAAGTGAAGTTGCCTAACAAAAAATGTAATTAAAAAAAAACACCTCTAAAATAAAAGCAATGCAGCTTGTAAATGCAAATTTAAGCAGGCCAGTCAGAGTCAACCGGAGTATGTGGCCTGGTAGCTGTACAATGTCCAGGTCTGTTCTAGACAAAGCAATTACATCTCTATGGGGACAAGCCGATGTTGGGCCCCACACCAACAAAGTTACATAGTGCATCTTTAGGTATAGCAAAAATAGAAAAAATAAATAAATAAAAATCTTTTAGGGTGTCTATTTGACCTTCATATACTCATTGTGGTGAAATGTTTATAACTGACTTACTTCCTGATCTGCATGGCCTCTTTGTTGTCATGCCTGAAGAAATCATAGGATTTATAAGACTTGACTGCTTCTCTTCTATAAACTCCAAGGTTAAACACTGCAAAAGGAAACAAAGGACAATGTAAAATAGAAGGATTATTATGAACTGTCAATGTTTTCTGTCAAAGCAGTTTTTCTACATTCCAGTTATGTAACTCAGACTGCTTCCAACCACATGGAATGACTTCTAGTACAATGGTCAAAGCATAAGCCTGGACAATAATTTAATGACATCATCGTACATGCAAATTTTCATAACAAATTGTAAGTTATATAAAGGGAATCTACTTTATCTACACCTACTTTACCTACTCCTTTGCAACAGGAAAGACATCTGGTATAAAGCCTAACCCAACTGGAACTCAACAGTGGCCACTAATCACAAAGTCCACTCATAATATAAAGGTAAAATTCTCAATCATTTCCCCATAAAAATACACTATTAAAAGATTAACCAGCTATATTGTTTAAAGTGACCATAATGAGATCATATTCAACACAATAAAGGAATATTAAATAAAATAAAACATTTAAATATGGTGAACTGCTTTTTAAAACTTGGTGTATTTTGTTGTTTAAAAACTATATTCAAATAAAACTGTGTTATTATTACCACACATCTTGTTTGCAGTCATAGTTTCAAGGATGCAATCACAGTTCAGCTCTGTTGGTGTTAGTTTTAAACCAGATGCCCTGCCAGTTGAACCCAGTGACACACAGCATGACTGAATTGGTAAAGTATTATTAGCTTGATGAGAATGGGGAAGGAAATGAAGCATAATATTGAGGTCTTTTGTACATGGATGATTGGGCACACCTTTAGTTGGCACTCCAATCCAGTTGAGGTAGCGTGTCAGCTTCTTGGACATGTATGTCTTTCCCCGAGCAGGCAGACCAATCATTACAATCACAGTGGGAATGTTAGTCATGTAGGAGGCCCATGCTGCAAAAAAACAAAACAAAACTGTAATACCACACAGACAAGATACACTGACTTACCCAGAGTCTCCTGTCTTGAGTTTCCATTCACAAATGCATAAGCACTACAATGTTGTACTCTTGAGATATGCTATTATTTATTAACTTGTGAAGCCAATGATTCTACAAAGTTTTTCTAGTTTATCAGTAATTCCTATTAGCCAAATTAGTTTTTTCCCACCCTTTGCTATGTGTCTACAATGAGCTTAAAAGGTCAGACCACTACAATAATTTACTTGTAATACACATAGTAATTTCTTTTTACTACTTTACTTATTCTACAACAGATGGAAATTAGTATTTTAGCTATGATTTGGCATATTTATATAAATATCATGTAAATAAATAAATCTAGGTTAAGTAATCTGGTGTTTGCATAATTATCCCCACTCTTTGTTATGTGTCTACAATAAGCTTCAATGTGGAGACCACTACAATAATTCACTCCTGAAACATCACCCTGTCACTCATTCACATGCTAGATTTTATTAACAGATTATGTCAATGAGTCTACAAAGATTTGCTAAATCTAGGTTTAGTTACCCACTGTATCCTTTTGCATATTTGTTCATATTTTCCCCACCCTTGATATGTGTCTGCAAAAGCTTGAGTGGCCAAACGAGACCAGACATGATTTGGTATTCTTGGTTTACTCGCACTTTAAGAATAAGAAAGAAGTGAAAAACATACCCTCCAAACACTGAGATTTGTGGAGATTATTATTTCAATGACCCTGATACATTTGTTTTTACTTCTTCTGTTCTTGCTTGGAGCAGTGTGACGATGACAAACTAAGGATTACTACCTGCATAACTGTACCTACGTAAAGAGCCACTGGGCAGGTTGTTTTGATATAACTATTTAACATCGGAAGTGTTATCATGAACCCATATCAAGGTCATTACAGGCAAGTGATTAAACTCCAAAATATATATATTATAATACAGGATCCAGTTCATTCAGTTTAGTTCATCTTTTCAGAGGTAAGTATTACTGAATCCAGGTGTAAAACAGGACTATAACAAGCTTTTGCTTTTTACACAGTCTAGATCTGCCATCTTGGATTTTAAGGGTTTCTTTTGTGATCTTTTATCACATTGTAAACTTTTATTGTTCTGTGATTTATAATCTTTGTATTTCACCTTCTTTGACATTTCTGTAATTTATTATCTAATTTAAAAATGTACTTTATGAATACATTTGACATTGACATTATTGCTTTGCCCTGGAAAGGTGACCCCACTCACAATTACAATTGTTTTTTGTTGTAAGAGTTGTTTTTTTTTCCTCCAATGTTTTATGGAGCAATATTTGAACATTCCAAGCAAAGCAGTTAACATATACATAAAGACAAGCAGGTGGCAGAACCTGGACAAGAAAGGTCACATAGCACCCCTTTAAACAAATTATGACTAAGCCAGACCTATATATGACAATAGTTACTTATGACTTGGTATAAACAAAACTTTAGCTTTAATTAAACGTAATACATTTGAATTTCCTTTATTACCAAAGACACACACATTATATCATCATTTAAAAGCCTAACAGGAAAAAGTTAATATTTTATTTCAGACTTACAGCACTTCTTTTCCGTGGTCCTGACTTCTGTCCTTTTGGTTTCAGTGGAGCCCTCTGAGGCAGTGGTCGCTCTCTGCTGCTTACCTGCCATAGTCAACCACTTTACTTTCGGCCTAAAATAGAAACAGTGTCGGTCAAACGCGTTTAAATCAGCATTTCTTTGTTGATGGAAAAACATAGATAATGACAAGCAACTATGATTTGTCCAAAACGTAAATAAGGTTATTAAATTACTTAGCACCTTTTGGATAAATGTAGTTTACATAAGCGTTGAATGAGCATCGCCTGTTATTATTACAATGGTTATTACGTACCATCTCATTAATAATACTGTTTTCTGCGCAATTTTTAACATATAAGCTTCATAATCAGTACTTATGTCAGTAATCTGAATATGACAGGAACAATGTGTGAGCATTTGACAGCCAGCCAGTCTACTGAGTCCAGGCCCTCAAACATTCATCATCTACTGTCTTTAAATTACACATAGACAGAATAAAACTTATGATTAAAGTCGTGCCACTCACCGAGAGGACACAGGTGCACGTCTGGATGAGTTTTTCCTTCGTTATTGCGCACGCATCAGTGTTTTATTGCAGCTTGGAGAGCCTCCTGCTTCTCTGCGTCTCTTTTACGGATGTCGAGGCTCCTCCCACCGGCAGCACCTACCGGAAGTGTGCTGCTCGACATCCGGGTGAGATTTCAAAATAAAACTCCATGGTCATGCTTTTGTTTTGATATATTTGTGATGCTATACTTTCTACTTTACTTTGCGTTAGATTTTGAGCACAAATATAAGGGTACCACAAAAAAGTTATACTGGAATAGTTTGTATTTATAACAAGATTTATCACTTGAAAAGCATTTTACTCTCTGCGGTAACTTCTGTAGCCATATGTACCCTGGGGCTGGTAGAAATGTGTTTGCCAATCTAGGGCTAGGCCAACTGCCAACACCAGTTAGTCATTCACATTGATAAGAGGTAAGTTCAATGTCTTGCCCAAGGACACAATAACAGTGGCTAGAGCAGGATTAGAACCACTAGCCTCAAGACTATAGGACCCTTCCACCTGAGTCACTCATATGCCCCACGCCTTGGTGTTTTATCTCACAGAGCAGAGCACAAACATTAGGACCTATTCAGGCTATCTGTAGATACTGAATAATAGTTTTTTATCACATCACAAATGCACTTACCCTACTTTCAAGTAGTGAACTAACTAAACTGTACTAACTAACTCAATGATAATATATCTTACTTTACTGGCTTAAACATACCCTGTAGCCCAACCCCATTTAAACATGCTTTATTACATAAGGTCCATTATGAACTATGAACTACTTTCTTTACATTTGAAAACCTATAGGCTGCCTTTGAGGTTTGTGGTTCATGTAACACAATGTCCACAGGTTATGACATCATGCTGGGGGTGTCCTATGTGTATCTCTGTGGTGGAAGGCTGCTCAGTTACCATGGTGACACAATGCACAAATAAATAAATAACTGCCAAATAAACTGAAGACAGTCTGAAAACTGGTCCTGTGTTTGATTTTCAAGAAAAAGGTGACCTGAAAAACTGAGAGACAAATCAGCTCACCCATTGCAATTATAGCTATGTCAGTTCTTTCCGGGTCAAATTGTATTAAAATAAAACTTACATTAAAATTTAACAGAGTTTCAGATAGAACAGTGCCTAAAGTTAGCTTCACACCACCAGGGAATGATGATGACATCTGATGCGATATATCAATATCCTAAATATAGACCGATATCTCTCTTAGCCAATGCTAGAAGTGTCAGGTGCATCAAAAACAAAGTCTTTTCTAAGCCATGTTTTATTTAAATCAGAACAGTTTCAATAATGACTTCAATTGAAAGTAAAAAGAACTGAGGTAATAGGTTTAACTCATATCCAACATGCAGCAAAAATGAGTGGCATTCCTCTTTAAGTCTACGTTAACACAAAATGGTGCCACGTTGCAACCACATTTTTTAAATTTGATAATGGAATCTAATCTCACAGTGTCTAACTAATACACCATAACAATTAGGAAACCTTTATTTGTAAGGTATGTGCTTGTTTTGAAAAGAAATGGAAGTTCTTCATTAAATATCACTTTTTGCTTTGTCATATTTGCATACATGTACAGGTGTATGCAGCTAAGGATGTGGAAGATAAAGTGGTAACTGGTGCTGGGTGAGTTTCTGTTGTGAATCCACACAATTTTGCTTCATCCAAGTGGTTATAAAAACAGATATTTCACATATTATTTTACCATTTGATCATCCTTTTTATAGCCCTTTAAACACAGGAAGTACTAGTAAACAAACTCTTTCATATATACCTGATCAGGCCATGCTCTCCTCAGATAATCAGGAATTTGGCAAATAAAGGGATCCAGCTCCGTAAGTAGTATCCTAAAATAAGAAAAGTCTATGTGTCACAGTTATGGATTTGCACAGTACACACCCTGAAACTGTACTGGTAGAATGTTTCTATTTTTCCTGTATGAAATCCATGCATCGCAATGATTACAAAGTTACATTAAAGTCACTTATTATGATGCCATAATGTTTATTTGATTATGTAATATCAACTAAGCTGCTAATATTACTACTATATATTGTGTAGGGATGATACCGATATATTGCTTCCAATATTGATATCGGTGGCTGCAGTTGCATCATAGACTGTATAAAGAATATTTATGCAGTCTATGGGTTACATGCACACCAAATAAAAAACTTAGCCGATATTTGGCACCAACATTTTCTTTCTTTTTTTTTTGAGCTGCCCCAGTGTGCTCATTTGTCATTCCCAGTTTATCCTCAGTGCTTCAGAGTTGTATTTTTGTAACAGAATGAATAAAAATTTTAATTTAAGAGCTATTAAAGATATGCCTGTATGTTTACACAATAAAGCAAATTATTTAATATCCCAGATAAATAGATTTTGTAATTATATATATATATATATTTTTTTTTTTACAAAAGTGAAAAGTTATTTTTGTGAACTTAACCTTATTTAAAAATCTTGATTTCAGTATTGGCCAATATTGGTATTCAAACACAGCAGCGAGACAAATATCGGATATTGGTATCTGCTCAAAAGATCCATATCAGACCATCCCTAATAATGTGATTGGATGGTATAGTAAGACAGCAAGAATGGCAACCAGGACATGTAGCAAAGGGATGTTTAATGATCATTTTGGACAATGAAATGTACATGTCCATAGTTGATGTCATACAAATAAGGAGAAGAAAGAAAAAAAAAAATCTGTTGTGTCAACATTCCCAGTCCACCTTTATGTTTGCTTGAGAAATGAAGAAGAAAAAAAAAGAAACATGTTGAGTGTTATGCAAACGCTGACCAGTAGGGGGCGTGCCAGCTCTTAAATAAAATGGGATAACGTTGACAGTAAAGCTGCATCTATGAGTCATCCGCATTGCCTGGTTTCCGTACCCTTGGCACTTGTGTTTCTATTTGAGACCGAACAGAACCAGCGTCATAATTTTGAGGCAAAGCTTACTCATAGACGGCTTATAATAAAGATATGATGAAAACTTAAAATAGTGATTGAACGAACTGAAAAAGAAAAAAACTCAACTTTAAATAAATCATTTTAATAATAACAACAATGAAATGTAGACCACTGCCATGTTGGCCTGAACCCCTCACAGCACCATTATATATTCTACGTAAAAGGCCATGCCATTCTAAGGCTGGCCTTTATTTCATATGCCACAAAAACATTACATTAAAATGAAACTTAAATTAAAAATGTACCACAGATTTCATACAAAGGGTGGGAGTTGCTGCTGTAAAGTGTCTGCCCAGAGTCTGATTTGGCAGCCAAATTTATTCTGATCTACAACCAAGCCTTTATTTCCCTAACACTGCACGATTAAGCTCTATAACGTAATAAATAATCCTTCAATAGTGGTTTCATTGTCTTAAGCTTAAAGGTGGACAATGCAACTTTTCTGGTGGAGTATCTGTCACCTGTTTGTCTCCGTGGAGATGTGATTGCTTTGCCTTTGCCACAGTATGACATTAAACTTGTGCATGTTCACTGAAACGAGGTTGATGCCACCAGGCCAAGTTACAAGTCACAACAAAACACATTTTTTTCAAGGCAGGTAGTGTGAAACACTTCAAGCAAAGCCATAATATCTCCATGGAGGCAAGAAGGTAGACCCTCCACTGGAAAAGTTACATAGTCCACCTTTAGATCCTGAGACTCTGGATAGCAGTCTGTACTAAACCTTCATGCTGCAGTGATGAAAATTGTGGTTATTTTATGCATTGGTCCAATACATTTTTATTATTGCTTGTTCATTTGCCTTTCGAGGAGCATACAACTCCCACCCGAGCACAGTCAGCTGATTGGGAATGCCTTACACATGGATATATGACATGGATTGTGTCTTGGTCCCCTACATCACAGAAGGATGCAGTGAAAGAGGAGCGGACTTGATCGGGCATGAAAGGGTTAAGTGCAGTGATCAAGTTCATATGATCTTTGAACGCAAACATTTCATACATTCCACAGTGGATCACAGGCTGGCAGTCACTCCTCGCGTGTCATCATGGAAATAAAAAATTGTAAGACTTTTATGAGTTTTCACAGACACTGGTAGTGTTTGTGAAGAGAGGAAGAGACAAGCAGAGTGATGATTGTTGCATCAAGTACTAATATGTGATGATAGTACATGTATTTTAAGCTATAAAAAACTACCTTGGTACTCAACACGGACCTCTTTCTAACAAATAATCTTGGTATACAACATTTACAAAATAAACATTGTAATAGTGTGATCTTTATAATATATATGCTACTGCCTTCCTCTGGTTCTCTGCGTTTTAAACTCTGAGTGAACGCCATCTTGTCTTGTGGTATCGGTGATTGGCAGCCTATTACAAAGAGTGGGGACAGAGAAGAGGAAGACGGTGGACAGTGCACCTGCTGCATGTTGTGTCCTGAGAGTGGAGATGGTCGCTCAGCCCGACAGCCTGCCCATAGACTCAGCACAGGGATACCAAGAATCAGTTCACAAGGTACAGGGGTGTCCTTATTCAAGATATTTGCACATGTAAGAAGTCTTGATATATGTTAATTATTATAATAACAATAATAACAATAGTATTAAACATCTGGAGTTCTGTCCAATGGCGGCAGGGTGGTAATCTGCTTACACTGGATCATATTGACGCCGCTTGATCCCACGTCTTTCGGATCAGCCTCAGTGCATCAAATAAGCTCATGTCCTCAAATCTGTGTCTGTGTCAAATGTCCAAAAGTGTGTTGTCATGGTGATCAGCGCTGATTTGCCCTCAGAGCCGCGTTTGAGCTTCGGGGACGTAGATTTCGATACTGTCTGCGCTTTCCGTGGCGGAGTTTTGCCGCACCGATGCCGCACGCTTTGCCGCCATCAGCCGTTTCCGCGCCTCCTGCCTCTGCTTGTCCACGGCGCTGTCCATGCTCCGGTCTTTCCCCGCTGCCAGTTTGGGCTTACACTGCTTCTTTGGCACCGATGATGGAAGCTTGGTCTCATCCTGCAAATCCACATTCAAATATACAGTTAGGAGTAGAGCCCGACCGATATGGATTTTGCTGTGGCCGATATGAAACTGATATAATGGAAGTTGGAGCTGCCGATAGCCGATATAATCACCGATATATTTAGTGATGTAAAAATTCACTGTAAATGTTGAATTGTTTAAAAAACTTAGGTTTGGCTCTGGTGGATTTTAAATTGGGTTTATTTAGGCAACATTTATTGTTATTCTGCCTCTTTACATCATATTTACAGACAGTAGGTTGGCTTAATGGCATTTTTGCATCACATTCTAGACACTAGTGATGGGTATTCCAGTTCTTTTTAGAGAACCGGCTCTTTTGGCTCGGCTCACTAAAAGCTGCTGGTTCTTTTGGCTCCCAAGTGGCTCTTCAGATTGTTTTGTTGCAAGCAGGACTACAGCACGTCTAAAGCAGGACTGAATCAGTACTGAACCAGGTCTAAACCAGGACTGAAAAAGGACTAAACCGGGACTTATTTATTTTATGCCCAACTACAGTCAAATATGCTCGGTTTTGTTTTTTTTTTTAATCCTACGTACACGCAAATTTCTCAAAGTTTCGTTTTTAGCCGCTGCCGCTGTCAAACCACGAATCAAGCGGCGTGAAGAGAAAAAAAGTGAGAGAAAGAGAAAACACGGGTCCCAATAAGGATCAGGCTCCCGTCGTTCCCTTCAAAGAGCCGGTTCTAAGAGTCATTTCGTTCGCGACGGACCCATAACTAGTAAAGAAAGTAGCGCTATTAGCCTTTAGCCGTAAATACGTGCGCGCCGCGGTAATTAATTATATGCGCAAATGTCATAATTCACACGTCTATTCACAGCTCATTTACATATCAGTGCAGGTCCAGTAGCAAATATACGGCCAATATAGTCACTTTAGAACAGACCAATAGAAAACAGTCTGTATATGTGCGGGAGCTACAGCAGCTAACCCATTACAAATGACAAAAACTAGCTTCAGAGTCGATATATTTCCAACACTCACCGCTCATACAGGCTCCTCCTCACATCACAAATCTGCACTAATAAATGTCCTTTTAATCCAGACTCAAACCGATTGTCCGTAAAAAGAATATAATCTCAGTGTTTGGATCTGTGTCTGCGAGTGTAAACAAACACACGTGAGTTACGCGACTCTGTGGTGTGTTCAGGGACAGTACGGACACACAAATGACTCCGTAGATAAATACTGATGTGGAGCCACATATTATTTATCTGTCTGTAAATTGGATTAAATGAACATAATGTAGAGAGTCTAAGCTTTATAACGAGGTATAACATGCCCACGTGAAATATCGGCCCCTATCAGCAAGCACATCGGCCGATAGCCGATATGCCTAAAGTTGCCCATATCAGCCGATAATATCGGCCAACCGATATATCGGTCGGGCTCAAAAATTACCATTGTCTGGTTTGACTGGGAGAAAGGCATTTTTCATTAATGTATTATTGTCAAAACTGTATAAAAATAGTTGTCAAAGATCCAATTTTCCCCTCATGTTGTGTAATCTAAAAATACAACAAATGCCTCACCTTCTTTTCGGGCTTTTCTGGAAGCTGCCAGTTGTTGGCCTTTAGCTGATAAAGCTCGTCAAACTTCATACTGATGTCTTCTATTGAGAGTTGTAGCAAATCCCAGAAGCCTGCGAGGTCCTGTGCTGTGGGCCTGGGGTTGGCATCTACCTTCTGATTAGGACAAAAAGAACAAACAGTTAATAAATCCAAGTTTTAGCAAGTCAGTTTGATATTATATCATCACTTTTACCTCATTTTGTCTTTTAGCTAAATTAAAGTGCATATGGTTGGTTAGACAACCTAATTACACTACAAATTTTGACAATTTTATAAGCTCAGAATTTCCTGGTTGAGCAGCAAATGCGACATAACAAATGAGCAATTGTACTGTAAACAAGGGCCCAATCTTACCAAATTTACACTATAATTTTTCTGTGACAAATAAAAAGTGAATTAATAACATCTAAATTTTGTTGAATGAATGTTTAAACAGAATTAGCCAGATGGAATTCTTTTGTTTCGATGTAATCAGAATGTCTTTTGTATATTTTTTTCATCAACTGTCTACACAAAGTGCCACTTGATTAGTTTAAAGCCATTTATTTTTATGGTTTATCCCATTAATCCAGGTAACCAAGTAAAGCGTGAGACGAAAGCATACTGAAGGTTCTTATCTTTAAGTCCAAAGGTGACTGAAGTATAGTTCACAGGGCTCACTTACCAGATTCTCATTGCAGAGTCCTCTGAACTGCTCAAACTTCTGTGATATCAGGAGCTGGGCACTCCCGACTGCGCTTCGGATCGTCCCCAGTACTGCAAAAATACAAAATACATCAAGCCAATTATCAACTGTAATGCAAGCAGTAAATAAAAGGTAGGCATAAATAAAATTATATGACTTAAACCGGATTGGTTTATGTGCTGTTCCTAGAGACAGAAGGGAGGGGTATCTACACTGACTCATGTTCATTTATATTTCAGACACTGCAGAGAAAGATCTGTCAAAAAGCCTGCATGGGAGACAGGAATAGTTCTGGGGGGTAAACAAAACCCAATACGAGAAGACGTGGTTTCAAGTGACTGGCTTTTAAGTTGAACAATTATAGTGTGGAGTAAATCATATAGAGTTTCATTCAATGGGCCTGTAGTGTACTCAAGATGGGGGCAGGGGTGTCTAGTGCTGATATAAAGATAGCAGTTTGGTTGAATAAAGTTAATTAATGAACCCTGTCACTATCAAACTGCGCCATATGATAAGACAACAGTACAGGAATACTGCCTCTTGCTCCTACCTGAGAGTAAAATTCTAGAATCAAATTGATGAATTAAAGGGCCACAATGCAACTTTTCTGGTGGAGGGTCTTGACATCTGCTGTTTTACTGCTACAAAAGTAAAAAAATAAACAAAAAAAACTATCAGTTCCTCCATGTAAACAGGTAAGCAGGAGGTAGACCCTTCACTAGAAAAATTACATGGTTTGTTGTTTAAATGTGCATTATTAAACTCAATCTCTGTATTCCTTTTTTTTAAAATTTAATTGTTGGTGAAATTGCACTACATACTAAAAACACCTCCAGCGCAGTCTTTGTTATGTGCCTGCGTCATTAGGTTATAATACTACCTAGAATGAAAGCATAGCCAGACTTGAATGGACAAAACTACCACAATGTGTTTATGTCTGCAGGTGCTGTACTGATTGTGACTGAACCTCTCCTGTCTCCCTTCAGTTATATAGAATGACAAACCTATCTGCACGTACCCTCCTCTGACAGTTGGTTGTCTTTGGTCTCCTGCTCCATCTGTTGACACCAGCCCTCCATGCGTCCCGTCTCGGCCTGGAGGAGCTTAAGAAACCAGTTCCCGTCTCTGGCACAGGCAGGCGTGCCGGACTGGGGGTCATCGCCGTGAGCCGTCGTGCTGCCGTTGCCCGTCTGGAGGCTGGGGTCCGGAGGGGGCAGAGAGGAAGGGTCCAGCGCGGGATCCAGGGACTCAGGAGGGGAGGATATCCTGGAGGAGGTGGCCTTCTGAAGGGACTGTGCTGTGGGCTTGTCCTGTCCATTGGTGGTGGCGCAGTTTGCCTTCTCGGTGTTGACACAATTGGTCTCCTGTGGCTCCAGTGACTCCGTCACTGTGTTTTGTCTGGAGGCCATGCTGTTGTCTCTGCTCAGACTAAAAGAGCACAAAGATATAGTCAAATAGTGTGTAGCATTCAAAGCAGAGTTCGGCAAAAGATTGTATTGAAACAGTCTAAATAGGGCTGGACAATATTGTGATCTTGTTCCTGTGGCAATACAATATTTCACAAATTTTCTCTTGCAACTCTCCACACCTCCTATTGGCAATGTGGGAGAATTAAAGACTTAAGTGGATTTGACAAACTGCAATGTGATTCGTTACCTCTTCCTGACAATATTAAGATAATTGTGATCAAATTGAAAATCGTGATCTGGAAAACAAAAATCGTTGTAGAAACTTGTATTCCAAAAAAGGATAAAAAATAATACTTCAGCACTTTTGTGTTTAAGTTTATGGTCCATTAACATTTAGTGATACTTGAGCCTCAACCAAGACAATTACAAGCTTGTTTTAGCACACTTCTGAAAGGTTGCAAAAATATTTTATTCATGGGTTTTAGGATTCTGTTTATAGGCACCATTTTGAGGACAATTTAAACCCATAATATGTAGTTGTTAATTGTTAATCACTATGGCAACAGTGCCTCTGAAACCCATGGACTATTATGGAGACAATCTAAAGTAAAGATGGTCATTTTCATAATTCGTCACCACTACTAATCTAGGTCAGTAGAGTTGCAGCGAATGACATGATACAAAAATTTGTTATAAATGAATAAAGGGAGGGACGGCTGTGAACAGTGTTGTTGTGTAAGGCAGGAGAAAATGAATCTGACTGATAATAGGTGGGGCATGAAATGAACGCATGACTCTGAGATAATGAGCAGAGGAAAGGAAGGAGTCATTAAACAAATGCGATTATTATGGGGCATTATAAAACAGTGGAAATGTGGAAAGGAGAGTTTTTTCATAATGTTTTGAGGACTGCAGTTCAAACGGTACTGAAAAAACATCAATAAAAAGGATGAGGACTGAGCTAGTGCTGATGATGTGGGGGCTGGCTCAAAAAACAGGATCAAAACATGCTCTCAAATCTATGTAACAACAACCGGGTTGCAGTAGACTTAGGATATTCTTGGTGGTCACGATACTAAAACTTGATTTTGATACTCAAATTGTCTACAGATTTCAATACCACAATGATAAAAGACTTAGACAACAGAATGTAATTTTCAACACAATAATAATTACCATGTGGTCTTATAGTCGTTTTGATAAATTTTTATTTTTGTATCAGTACTACATATACAAATGTGTCTAGTTTGGATGCTAGTTTGGTATCAGTAAGTAACCAATTTTCTATACTTTTGACAACCCTAATTCTTGTTTGATTAAAGACATATCAAGGAGAGGAGAAGAGTTAAAAGAACTCTCAAACCAAGCATCTCTATCTAACCATGTTATCTAACCCAAAATGCAAATACGCACGATTGCAAGCTCACTGGAGTCCATGCAGTAACTACAGAAAAGTACTAAGACTGTATTTGCAACAAGGTTTCACTTCCAAGCACTTCTAATTCACTTCTGTTGTCCAAATCCATTATAATGCAATAAAATGACAATCAAGTATTGCCAGTATTGTTTCTCTAAATACGATGGTCTATTATAAACAATTAAAGGTTGTCAAAAGCATCAAAAATCAAATACGAATCAATACTAAAACTAATATCAAAACTACATTCATTCAGTGGTGTGACTGAAATCAGACGTGTCAAAACTGTACAATACTGGACCATTTTAGATTGGTCTTGATCTGTACTACAACAATATGAGACTACATTACTATTAAATTCACTATTTTGTGTTGTAAATAACAGTGTATTACAATCTTTTATTATCATGTGGTATCGAAATTGGCATCAAGCCTTCTCCTTAGTATTAAAACTGACTTTGCAAATGGCCACTTCAACTTGTATTCAAAATTTTCAAACATAAAACAAACAGTTATTTGTACTTACGGCCTGCCGTTCTCCACTTGAACCCCAATGGACTGGAATTTTAAAGGTGCTGTTAAAGGGAGTGGCTCTTCTCTTGTTACTGGCAAAATACAATCCACCTGGGAAAACATTTCAAAGAGAAATTAGCAACAGTCCTATCATTCAAGACCAATGTGTAGCCAAACTATTTACCTGTATTCCAATAGAGGACAGTTTTCTTTTGGGCGCAGTTGGGGGTTCGTCAAGGGTGATAATGGGAGTCAGGGTGTCATGTTGGCACTGTGTAGATGTTGACGTGGTTGCAGTAGCTGTATTATCCGTAGCAGTACTAGCAGTAGCGGTAGAAGCAGCAGCAGTAGTAGTAGTGGTAGCAGGGGCAGTTATGTTCGGGGGTAAATCCCTTGGGGCAGGGACAGGAGGTACAACAGTGGTGGCAATAGGGATGGGCACCGGGACAGCTGGCGTGATGATACCAGTTGGGTAGGTGCCCTTTGCCAGGCTGCCCGTACGGATGCTACAGAGGCTGTCCGAGGAGTTGCTGCGTCCCGACTGGCTGTTGGCTTCACTGCCGCGGTCTTGCTGGTCGTAGTAGGTGTCCTGGGCTGATTCAGTGCTGCTCTGGAGAGTGACAGAGATGAGGGGTTTGGAGGTGGTGCGTGGTGGGACCGGAGGGGGGGCTTTCCTGTTGTTGACTGCAGACACAAAATGACATGAAAAGAATGAAAAAACTCCTTGTTTCTCTTTGTCCCCATGTTTAAACTGTCACACAACAAAAAAAAAAAACTGCAAGAAAGTTTGAAAGAAAAGCATTATTGTGTTGCTGTAACTAAAAATGGCTGCTATGTAGGACTGCTTGATATCAAATGAGGATGTAATTTGTATTTTGACAGAGTCCTACAGCAAGGTGTCCTGTTTAGTTTCTGTTTAAATGGTCCATCAGTACACAATAAAGATAAACCTTCCCTTAACCATATGCGATTAAGCATATGGTACTGGTAATGTATTTTCAAATGTATTTAATTGGACAATAATAAAACATATATATATATATTTTTTAAATTTTATAATTTTTTTGATGAAATAGTTAGTTGACAAAAAGAGTATTTCTGTATTTTGGATATTTCAGTAAACTACAGGTCTTGAAAAAGCATGTTGCATAGGGCCTACTATTTAACCAGAAACAACCCTGGTATTAGGATTCCTAAGCATTTCAGTAGCACTAAGCTCATTCCTTTCTTGGTCACATGCTGCCCCAGTGTCGACTAAATGTTTAAAATACATTTGACAAAAGATATAATTAAAGCAGTGACGTTTCCGAACAAATGGTACAAATGTGTTATGTTTTTCCCCTCCAGTAGCAGTATCACTCCAAATGGGACCCAGAACCCTATAATTGTGTGGGTGCTGCTCTCCTGTCATCAGCCAATGAGTCACAGAACCAGCCAAGCTCTCATTAAAAGCCACTGGCAGCGCACACAAACAGAGGATCTGTATTTACTCTGCTGCCAGGGCCCTGACAGCTCTGCGTCAGGAGAACAGCCCATCCACAGCACGGGCAAAATCTGCAAATCCACTGAATAAAACAGATGTACGCAGTTAAGACGTAACAAAGCAGCTTGCGTTTAGAAGAGAATGTTAAAACAAGAAAAGTTATAACTAGGGCTGAACAATCAATCAAAAAAATAAATAAATAAAAATTAAAAACAAGGAACTTGCTTAGAGCTTGGTGAATTTTCAGTTATTAGCTTGGGTCTGAAAGGGCAATCACCTGCAAATGTGATTGGAGTTCAGATTTTGGATTACTACAAAGGATCATTCTAGTTTTTAATTGCATTGATGATTAAAATAATATAAAACAGAACTTTGGGAGTAAAAAAGTATCTTTTTTGCTTCATTCCTTCGGTTGACCATCTTAATCCACATGGTTGGGGGTCATTACAATTCTTACATTTGTTGTGATATTAGGGTATTAGGAAGGCTCAATGTATGGAAGAGGTGCTACTTTTTGTTTAAAAATGCACTCATGAATCAAATAAAATCGTCTTGTCAGCTGCATTGAAAAACAGAAGAGGATTATAATCTATGTAGTTTGTGCCACTGCAACAAAACAATGGCCTCTTGAATCCACACTCTGCCTTAAAAAGTCTTGGCATTTCTTGGACAATAAAGTGTAAACACTGGAAGGTTATAAGAGGATTAGGACTTTAAAAGGCTACTGTAAGCAGTAAGATGCCCTCTATGCTCCATTATACAGGAAACAATAATGACCAAATTCCAGGTAGACATTATAGTAAATGGGCTATTATAATATCTTTTAGAGTATACATTAGACAGATAACCAGCTTGACCTCCTCAAATTTAGTTAATTTAAATTTTTTTTAACTTCCATTTCTAAACCATTAAATCGAGAACAAATTATGGCTAATCCATCTATGCCTAAAAGCTAAGTATACATTGGTTTAAATTAAAAGATGTATTTACTGTCAGTGTGATGACAGGTCATAATGTTAAGTGATTGTAATCAATGTTATTCTTAATTAGAGGGAAGAGTTAAGTCCTTTGTATAGAATTATATTAAATTAGTTTTGACAAGAGCATCAATAGCTCAGTGAAGCGGCAGCCAACAAACCCCAGGCCTGGATTATGTATTGCAAAAGGTAATATCATTTTATTATGAATCATTCTTTGAGTTCATGTCTGGAGAGGAGCCAACAATAATAAAAGAAGTGGTAGAGAAGCACTGAACAAGATTAGAAATGAAGATAGTAAAAATGAATGCAAACCTCATAAACAAGATGTTGAAATATGACAAGGCCGATTATAGGAACACAAATAAAAGTTTCATCGATCTGAAAAAAGGTACAGCTAAAAATACATGTGCGTCTTTTGTAGCTCCAAGATTGTTTGAGAGAAGGAGGAACAGTTTGACGAGTTTATGCACTATTTATATCCTCTGTAAATGGACTTACTTAGGTGAAGCTCTAAGCGCTTTGTTTAAAATTACAAATGGCAGGTAATGTGGAAGCAACATTGATTTTTAAAAAGGTATTTGTGTACACAACAACCTAGGAGACTATTTGTATGGCTCACTGGACTAGGTCACAACCTAAGCCAATGTCTTTTTAGGTTAATCTTTCATTATATTTCAGCATGATTATAAATGCAGAAAATAATCTTAAATTAACAAACTGTGAATCAGTTGTTCCAATTTTAAATCAAAGGATCTGAAATGTTAAAACTGCAAATGTTTGATCTGTGAGGTCTTTTTTTACATGTTCCTTCATACAATTTCTGGAGTTTAAATGTCACTTACTGTCTGCATTTCATATTTGAGCTGTCTTTTTTAACAGTGTAGTTAATTTTAATGTGAATGACAACACAAGGAGTATTCTTTTTAGACTATGGAAGGCCACCATAGTGTCTTCTGTTAATGGGAAACACTGCAGGAAAAAAAAAAGTCAAAATTGTGAACTAAACCTGCATGATTTATTAACAATCATGTAAAAACTTTTGTTTCTTCTTGTATCTTGTGTCTCTGACACAGCTGTTGTTCCAATTCTGAATAAAATTTACTTTTGAAACTGAATTACTTTACAGTTTAGAAGTTCTCATTTTAGTTTTCCCATCATAACTCCTGGACATGTTTTAATGTAATCCTCAAATCTTAGAGCCCTAATCTGAAGGGAAGCTAAGTACATGGGAAGTGTAGGCATCAGCAGTAGCTGTGTTCGTGGAGCAACTGCATGAGCTCATCAATGAGAATGAAGAGGAAGAGTGTAATGATGTGGAGAATGACTCAGAGTCTGCCCATCCACTGATACTATGACCACACCTCAGCCAAACAATGAACTTAAAGCCATGTATAGACCTACCAGACAGAACAGTACCAGTGAAGCATATTAAAGTCCTTTGTGCTTACAGGGGCATTGCTTTTGATGCTAGCAGTGCAGATGGTGAGGTTTTCAACTAAAAAGCTAGTGTCCTAACCACCAGCCAACAGCTCCCGGCACTGTACAGTACACAGGAAGCTTATTAAATTTTGATCACATCCTCTGCCTTCAACACATAGCTGCAGAGGAGTGGAGGAGAAACTGAAAACATAAGGTAGACTTAAAATAGCCCCCAAAATATGGCAGTTGGGAAAGGATATTTTGTAAGATAGGATTACAGGTCGTTGAGTTGATTCCCACATGGGCCGAGATAAAAACATTATTATTGACAGTACAGGCAGCGAAGTGTCATCTGATCTGAAGGTTAAAATATGCCAAGAACAGCCCAGACCTATTTTCAGAGTTAAATGCCACTTGATTTAATAGTTTACATTAGCACAACGTGACTCATAGCTTATGCATACCTCTGAGCTGTATCACATGCTACGGGAAACATTAATGAAAAGGGGAGATTTAACATTATGGAGGTTAACCTAATTTATGCATAAATTGTCTAGTCATATTCGATTTAGTTAAAGTTTTGTTTTAGTTTCAATATTTAAAGATCTCTCTGTCACCTGCACAGTGTTCCCAGCCTCTTTGCACGTCAGAGGTGTCAAATGCTCCTCTCGTGTCGATTCGTGTGGTTACGTCCTCTTATTGGAAATTATTTTACGTTTTTGTCGTGAATATACCAGATTTGTTCAAAACATGAAAAGAAAAAGTTGACTCAAAACGCTCGAGATCGAGATGCTCATGTAGCCTCCTGGATGTTGACGCCTAGGCTTCTGTTAGCTCGAGTTGCTAATGGTAACATAATGAGGATAATACACACAAATTGCATCCTCCGCAGACTACTAAGCATTGGTTGGAGGTAAACAGAAATATGATCAGATAAACACGGTCATTTCTTTGTGTTCACTGCCTTACTACCGTCATCAGTCACGCTTTTTGCCCAATTTATTGTCCGGTTGCTACAGAGTAAGATTTCCACGTTTGCTATCGTTAGCCGCCTAGCTTAGCCTGCTATTATTGTCGGCGCAGCACACAAAAGCGATCAACAGCATAAACAAAGGCGAGATCGAGATATGGCAAAACGCTTACTGTGGTGTCGACGACTGGAAAATCCGTAAAATCTGTCCTTTAAAGATTAGCACCGGGACTGCAGACAGCATAAGGAGGGATATGTGGCCGTGTAAAGAAAAGATTTGTGGTACACGCCCTTGACAACCGCGATTGGAGTGCACGCTTTTTCTCAGACACGGCCGGAGCGAGCGATTGGACAGCGGGGGACGGGGGTCGAGCTCATCCACAGGCAAATGTGATTGGTTTAAGTCTACCTTTAATGTTGGTTATGGACGTGTCCAACATAGGTGCGTTTAGGAAACACGATACTCTCGGGAAGTGTTGTGAAAAGTGAACAGACAATGACCAATCCTGCATTGTCCTGTCTTTCTGTTCATGAGAATGCTTTTCTGAGCTGACCTTAAATTCACAGAATAGAATTTGACGATATTTTAGCCTAATAATTTATGTATTTATTTTATTTCCTTGCCCATGAAGTGTTAAATAATTCCACAACAATCAAAAATATAATTTATTAGTAAATGAACAAAAGGGTCAAACAGGCGGGGGTTTTTTTGTTTTGTTTTTTTTCACCCTTAATCGGTCAAAAAATATCTCTTATCATCCTCCACCATTGCTCCATCATGACACAACAATACAATTGAAGCCATATAAAAAACAAACTGAAGTTTAGTTTGTAATGGCTTATTTTATTGGTGTAGCCTAATAGTAATAGTACTAGTAGTGTACTAGTACTCTGTTTAGGTTTTAATTTCATGAGAATCTTTTTAAGAAGTCCTAATGATTCATGTTAAATTAGAATTTGGAGGACCTCAACAAATGGCCAGGGGCATCCAAATGTGGCCTCAGACCAATTTTTGTTTGGCCCTCAGCCTTCCTGCTGAATTGGTCCAAATTACCAAAACTAGTAGCCAACTTCTTACTGCAAATATTGACAATTTCTACTATAATTTCAAATAGCAAATATTTGGATGTGATACAGACCAAACAGGCTAATGAAGTATGATTGAAGGTGTGGTAGCTCAGTCAAACCTACGTCATATGAAACACTTTGAATGATTCACTTCACCTGTATCTGTGGCACTTTAAGTAGCCTATAATTTTTAATATGTGACCCTCAGTGAAAAAGGTTTGGACATGCCTGGTCTAGGCCAAAGATTCCACTTTGAGAATGGTGGAGAGAGAGGTTAGGCTATTATCTGAAGAAATCACATGGGGTAGGGACAAATAATTATTTCTGCTCTCGTAATTCAGAACTAACACAAGCCTTCTCAAACTTCCCAGTTCATAAAATGTTTTGGCTTTTAGGCCTCCACCTCCAGAACTACCCTATTCCCATTACTAACTTAAATGTGTCTTTTTATTTCTAGAATCATTCAGTTACATTTGTGTTTTTCAGCTTTACCATGGGCTACTCACGTGTGCTGGAGCTGTAGCAGTAGCTGGCTGCAGTGGGTGGAGGGGAGTCGGAGTCCACAGAGGTGTCGTCGTCCTGGGAGCAGCCTGCCTGGATGGCCCTCAGGTAACTGTGAGAGCGTGAGCGGAAACAGGTGGGAGCAGGCAGGTCAAGAGCCTCCACAGCCTGAGACTCCCCCTCACCGTACGGGCCCGAGTGACCACAACTCTGAGCACAGACCTGGCAGGAATAGGGTCATTATAATGTGTGCATAACAGAGGAAGTGTTTAATTAGAGATCACTACAATATTAGGTTGAAGGGGCTGAAGCTCAGATACCTGCTCTTCAGCGTTCACCATGTATGAAGAATAAATTATACATTGCATAAGACAGTGTTTAATAATAATCATGTTTTCAGATGACGTAATGCATACAGCCATTGTGTCCTTGATCAAAGCACTGTTTACAATTCATCCTATCACTTGTTTCACTATGTCTAACTGGATTGTGATGACACTCCATAAAAACAGTGCATAAAAAGTACAAGATGTCTAGAGTCCTGTTGATATATTTGCAGGTTCTATATGGGTTGCATGTACTTTGTTTAGCTCATTCAAACATGTATTAATGATGTCTCTCTCAGCAATATAAAAGTAAAAAATATGATTAAGATTAACTATGAAATAAAACATCAATCATACTTTCATTTAAAATATATTCTGTCAAGTCACCACATGTTCCCCCAAGAAAAAAGACTGGCCTCCACCTGTGTAAACATATGACATCAACATTGTATACCTTTAACATGCATTGAACATTGTTTGTGAAGTAGGGTAGTCTTTAACGTATCTGATAATAACAGCAATAACACCCTTAGATATTTTAGTTTGGAGTAGCAATTGGGGCCAATATATTTACAACCGCAAAAAAAGCCAAATCCACAATGTCTTGATTTCTTTGTGATAAAAAATATTGTATGTATGCATTTATGTAAACCTCACATTATAATTCATATGACATTGCATCTGTTGGAGCCAGTTTATATTTACTTAAGAAATTATTAATTTGATGTAAAATTTACTTTATTATCTTTATTATGTTTAAAGACAACACTGAATCTAAATCATGCCATCCAGATCTCCCCTCCCCTTCCTCTCCTCAGGTTTATCTAGCCACCTGTAGTGTCAGTCAGCAGTGCCAGTATGGATAGAGAGGAAGAGAGAAAGTATTTTGTGACCGCTAAAAGTCCTTGAAGGTCAACCCTGAGGAATAATTCTGTTCTTTAAAAATAAATGGATAATGGATTGGTGTGCTTTTTTTTATGTGAGTTACAAACCTTCTCAAAGCAACATGGCACAACAGCATCACTTTTTCAAGTTGGACATTCTATATGGGATGAGGGATACATGCCTTGGCTGTACAGGACAACTAAAAGAGGGACATGTGGGCTTATTATGTGGTCTTATGTTTGGTAATATTCTATTTTAATAATAAAAGTAATTGAGTAAATAGTTGTTTGACTGGGTTTATTTGTCTTACCTGAGAGCTTCTGCCCAGTGTAGCAGAACAGTAGCTGAACTCGCTCCTGTGTCGTGGCTGCGTTTCCACCGGACTCACCAGGCAGTCCAGGTTATCCAGGCTCCGATTCGTGGACAGCTCTTTCAGACAGGGCAGGGAGCTGTGGACCCAAATGACCATGAGTCCCAATCAAAATACCACAGGACTGAGCAGTGCATATGATAGCAGGCTTTTATGTTTTTCAATTTATTACTTGGTTTGGTAGTATAGTGTCTGTGGTAAATATTTATTATACTTTTACATCAGTTAAGTGGTAGTTTGTTGGTGGTTTGACAGTATGGTTGCTAGGTAATAGTAATGGAATTAGTCCTATCTGCTATCTGAAGTAAAATGATAAACATAACAAAATGTTCATGTTTATCTGTCTAAATATTGTTAACTTTGTTTTAGTGAAATGAATATGCTGTCATGTGCACTTTAACTGACACCATTAGAGACCGCTTTGTTATACAATAGACTCCCTTGGGTATCTCAACATTAAATAGAGTGCAGCCAGCAGTGCTATTTTTGTGTTTAAAATAGCAGCATGGGGGAGAGTGTTAGTTACTTAATATGTGTCTTTTATTATAAACTTCAAATTGCGCTGACAGGTTGTCTTATGGTACCCCGCTGTGATCTGAGTTAGCAGAAACATGTGCACAGGGTGTGGAAAGTGTTACAAAGTGAGAAACATCAAAACACAACACTGAGGATGTTAAAAGGACAAAAATGACAAGATACAACAAATTAGGGCTGTGCAATTAATCACATTACAGCCATACATTTTACGGACATGTTAATATATCATTTTAATCTATCTTTTTAATCGTGAGATCCACAGCCAATCCTCTGTCAGAGTTGGAGCAGAATTCAGACTTCGGAGAAATAAATTTGACTATTTTTGTGTTAAATGGCAGTGATTAAAAGTGTATTGTTTATTTTCAGGAAATTAAAAGTGGATTATGTAACTTTTCAGGTCAAGCGGCTCTGATCTGCTACCTGCTTGTTTCCGTGACAATGATATTGCTTTGTCTGGAATTACCCACAGTATGGCATTAAATGTGTCTCTCAAGCAATTATTCAAGGTATACAGGTATTTTTGTTGCTAAAAACATTGTGTCTGTGAATGGGCTCGTCTCTCATACTGAACATTTCGGGTAAAGCAATGACATCTCCATGGAGGCAAACAGGTGGCGTGCCTTCCACCAAAAAAGTTACATTGTGCACTTTAAATATTGAAAGGCATGATTATTATGATTTTTTTTTTTTTTAGTAAGTCAAAATAAATTCAAATGAAAAATCAAGCTTGTTCAAAATGAGGGAAAAAACATGAATATTTTGGTTGGCATATCGCCCAGCCCTGCAGCAAACAAACGAGGAGGTGTTGACAGTTGTGAGTCCGGTGAGGGGAGGTTGGGTGCACGTCACACTGCTGTGCCCTGGGTTTGCACTGACCTCAGTTGTTGCATAGAGCATGCACTTTGCAGAGGAGACCAGTAATAATCCTCCCGCATGAGAGCGTAGCCACGAGGTCTGTCCATGTGGGTGTGAGGGTAGAATAAACATCACAGATTCACCTGCTGTCACCTTTGGGCTCAACAACAAGAATCCTTCTTTTTCCCTATACTTAAAGTTAATGCTCATGGGTTGCAGCTTCCTGCTACAGGTAAGATCTTGAAGACTTTTCCCCCACTGTGGTAACAGTCCTAAGTTTTCATCATTCTGAAACATGTAGAGTTGAGAAGTTGAAGATGCAAGGTAGTTAAGATAGATTGTAAGTCCACATGTAGGTGAAACCAAAAAATATTAGCCATTTGTTTTACTTTCCCAATACTATCAGCTTGTACATTTTCTTACAAAAAAATCTGGTAATGAGCTTTTATTATAATACAAATAAAATCATAGTTTATATTTTGACGCCTATTATTTTTCAAAGTATACAATCAAGATGGCATTACTACATCTTTGAATACATTTTTAATTATGTTGATGCTGCCCCCTGCTGTTAACCTTTACACAATGTGCAGTTTTACATTAACTATACTGTGTGTGAGTGTATATAGCAAAAGATGCTGTTTCACACCTGTACTCCCTGGGCAGGTAGATATTACAATCTATAGAAAATATGAGAAAAAGAAATTGTGATTCTTTTTTTTTGGTCATAGCCCTATAATGTCGGGCATACATATATTTCGTCATTCCTTGCACATAGCTTATTGGGCGTCCATACTTTTTTATACTGACTTACATGTATTTATTTCCAATTCCATTTAATGATCTATTTATTATCTATTGTTATACCCCCATCTTAATTAAACCCTACAGCTCCATAGTATGCAGTGATGTCAGCAACAGATAACTATGGTAACCCTGTCTGCAGTTGTACTCACTTGCGAGGAGGGGGCGGGGGCTGCTGTTCACTTAGGGACCTCTGTGTTGCCTTCAGGTAGCTCTGTCTCCGTGCAGCGCTCTTTGGAGATGGTTTGGGACTTCCCTCTGAGTCCTCGCTGTCCTCCAGGTCCCCCATGGCTTTAACATAACTGCCGCTGCGCATCCTCCGACACGGGATCTCAGTGCCCTTGCCCCGTCCGTGACCCAGGGTACCTGCCCAGTCTCCAGACGGGACCTGTGGTGGAGGGTTATGCAACTGGTGTGAATATGGGTTGGAGAGTAGTTACTGTTAGACTTGTAGCTGGTATATATATATATGTGTGTTCACTTTGCGGAAATTATATGTAAAGCAGCACAGCGATAATGCAAATGGAATGAAAAGGCAAAAATTAGCTAAATTAAACAAGGCCACACTATAATAGGCTTAGCAATTAGCAGTAGGCTAGCATTAGTGGTTATGTTTATGGTTGAGCTATTTCACTTTTTAATATCTATTCCTTTATCTTTTAGAATGCATTCACTCTTGGTATGCTAATTTAGTTTAGCCTAAATGTAAACTTGGTTTGGTCCAGATTTAGTTAGATTTTTTTTTTTTAAAGTGTTATAGTAATCTTTCTGGTAAAACTGTGAAAAAAAAGCATGCACAAATACTAGTTTTGCAGAGATGTTAAAGATATTTTTTTATGTAAAGCCATGTTAGAATGTTGTTACCTCCTCAAAAACATACCTAGAGTTGTATTTTGTATGTGATGATGATTAAATCTTTATTTTTAGTCTGACTATATCTCCAGGGCCCAAAATGCTCCATTTCACCTTTTGATGTCATGAAGCGGTACTTTTAAAATCTTTTTACCTTTGGTTTATTAGTGATGGGCAATTCTAGGGCTGAAATTATCTAAATGATTTTAGTGAAGGTGGAGTTTAAAACACAGTGGAGCACTCCCTGTATTACCACATGACATCACAAGGTGAAACAGAACAGTTTTCAGTTTGAGAGAAGAAAAAAAAAAAATGCAGGATTTGTGTGTTAAGTATGTGTAATAAAACAAAACACAACTCCAGCTATGTTTGAAATGAGGAACATTAAAATATAGATCAGCAAATATTGTAATATGGGCAAAAGAAATTATGTTTGAATAATGTCTCCAAAATTATAGTACAGAGTACTTTGTTGTATGGTTTAACACCAGTCAGACACAATAGGCAAACCTCTGATATATTGCTTTTGGCTATAAGAAACAGCAGCAGTGGTATCATGCAAAGATGAGGATGAAATGGATACTCACAGACCCTCCTACCTGAAGGAACTGGTTAGTCATGTCTTGGTGGGAGGACTTAGTCTTGAGCAGAGTCCTGTTGACGGTGGCAGAGCCCTTCTGTAAAACCTGCCTGGCCTGAGTCAGCGTCAGCGTGGACCAAGACCCCCTTTTCACCAACAAGTCGTCTTTACTCCCCCTGAACCTCCCCTCCTCATCCTTACAACCCCCGACCTGCGTCGTCGGACATGCTAAAAACTTGAGGTCACTGCTGCTTTTGGAGGTCTTGAGAGTGTGTGCGGATATGGTGTTGTAGCCCTGTGGGATTTGCCTGGCCTGGCTGTCCGAAACCGCCCTGCCCAGCGTCATCATGGTCAACGGATTGCGGTAACCCATAGCGAGCGTTCCCGTTTTGGTAGTATCCATGTCCAGTGCATCATCTGAACCCCAAAGCCCGCCTAAAGCTGTTGATCGGATTCTCTGTCTTGGCATTTCAGATTTAGCCCTATCTTTACTTTTGCTTCTACGGCTTGGTCTCCCGCCTTCATCGCCTGATCCACCCCCGCTAATCGAACGACCATTCAAGTTTCCCTTAAGAGCCGAGTTTTCCAAAGATTGTGATTTGGCAAAAAGTTTTTGAACCGAATGCATCAGGTGCCGGATTCGCCCTGGACTCTCACTTCGTTGTTTGGACATACGCCCCCGGTGGAACTGCAAGGTACTGAAGCCGTCGCGGTGTAGCGGCAAGTGTCTTTCCAACTGGTCCAAAAGGTTCGCCGGAAGTCTGTTCATTTTAGCAGCCGCCGCGGTAGAGATGGTGGCTGATCCGCTGGTGATCATTGGAGCTCCAGAAAGCCCCAACCCAAGACCCATCCCTAGCGATAAAGACTGGGTCAACGCTCTCCCACCCTGCCCGACGGTCCCCGCCCCACCCATGCAAGCTTGGGAGCATTCTGACTGATCACCCTGCGTGGTAAAATGTAGTCTTGGAAACGTACTGCTGTTGGATATCGGCCCGAATGGTAACAGGCAGTCAGGGGCGAGGGTGGTTGGGCTGGTCGGGGGACACTGATGCAGGTGGGGGTCTAGGGTGCCATAGTGGTTGAGGGTGGGGCTGAGGAGGAAGGTCCCGTGGGTGTCGGGACTGAGAGGGCAGAGAGTTTTTTGGGTGCACCCGGGCGGTTCGCAGGAGTCGGACAGGTGGCGGCTGCGGTTTGCTCCCAAGCCCTTCATGATGGAGCCCTCAGAGCATCAGGTCAGTGCAGGTCTACAGCCTCATCCTGTAAAAACAAAAGAGGAAATAGAGGTTCAGTCGAATGGTTTTCTCCATTGAGATGTTATTGTTTAGTCTGGAATGTTTCACAGTGTGGCATTAAACCTTTCTATCGATATGGAGATCAAGCCAGACCAAGTCACAAGTCAAATCTGTGGAAAGGCGACCCCGCTCACAGTCAGAATACCTGTTTTTCTAGGTATTTTTGAGTTATAAAACTACCTGTAATTTAATAGATGTATAGTAGAGTTGTTTAATGTCATACTGTGGAACATTTCAGGCAGATCAATGACATATCCAGAGAAACAAGCAGGTGACGGACCCCCACCAAAAAGTTGCACAGTGCACCTTTAAGTGTCAGGTGAACACATGATACATTTAAGGTCCAAATACATATTCACATAGTAATATTTCAGGCAAATAATGCCTCTGCAGCAATTTCTGGATCAAACCTGACCTACTTTTTAAAATAATGACAATCCTAATTTAATTTTCTCCTCTGTTGTCTGATGTCTGCCATTAAATTCAACTTTACATTTTAAAATAATACCATCAGATTGTAGGGAGTCAGTATTGCAATTACTGTAAATGGAGAGGTGTAGTTCCACATAGTGAACCACCAGGGGGAGTAACAGTAACCACTACAGTCTTGAGACACAGCAACACATAGTAACACACTGCTACATTCAAGAGCTCTTCGCAGGCTTCAGAGAGAGAGATGCTCTATTACATAATGCACAACACAAAACATGACTGTCACAACAAAGGTTACAGCAAGGTTACAGACGACAGGTATTTCTGCACATATAATAAGCAGAATTGTATTCAATAATATGAAAAAAACAGTGCAGAAGCTTAAAATAGAGTAGTTATTTCTTTAATAATTCCTGATTTTCTGTTTGTGTGTACCTTATAACAGTGGGATACCGCGTTCTTTTCGTGAGAACAATAAATCTCCTCTAATACTGTCTCAAATCCGCATCCAATATAGTTCATAGCAGGTGGAATAAAAACACAAAGGAGGAACTGTGATTTGTAGGTAGTATCATATAATTAAGTTGTGTAAGTGGTTAAATTCATTGTGACTCGGGTTATATAACAGATCCTGCTTCAATAAAAGGCAGTTTTCTCTCAAAGTGCACGTACAAAGCTATCCTGTTTTAAAATTGTCTTACAGATGTGATTACAGCTCTGTTTATCTTTATAAGGTGTAATATCTGTCATTCTCCACACAAGACGCCATTCACAAAGTGCCACCGTAATAAAATTTAGCAAGAGAAAACAATAATTCAAACTGTAATACTAGTGAAATAAACTCTTCTCCTCATGTTCCTACTTCTTTATTCCACGGGAGTCATAGAATGTTATCACTGAACACAGCTGCTCTCTGTATCACCAAAGAGTGACTCACTGATCCATCAATGATACAGGCCTACTACCACACTTAGACTCAAACACAAGGAGATCAATAGTAGCTTATTCTATGTTTTAGTACTTTAGTGGAGTAGTATTTGAGTGGAAAATAGGACTATACTTTCAATCATGATGTGTATTTTGAACCATTGTCTATTAAAAGTCCAATTTTATGCTTTTCTCATCTGTTATCATTTCGTTTCTTCATCAAAAACATACCAGGAGTTGTGTTTTGCTTCGTTCACACATGTTTAATGCACAAATCCTGCATATTTAGGTGAGTTTTTCTCAAGCAATATGTTCCACCTTGTAATGTCATGTGGTAAAAATACAACAAATACTCCTCAGTGTTTTTAAACTCCATACACCTTCACTAGAATCATTTTGGACAAATTCAGCCTTGGATTTGCCAATCTCTACTGAACGAAAGGAGTATTTTTGAGCTCTGGAGATGTGAACAGAGTAATAATAAAGGATAACTAAAACATTTGTGAATGAAACAAAACACAGCTCCACATTATGACATGACAAAAAGCTCACAAGAGTCAATTCTGCGTAATATAAGACCATTAAATGCAATATCCTAACAGTATCCAAGTAGTCGCCAATGTAAACTAGCTCTCTTCTGACTTGAAACAGCCATACTGTAGAGACTATATTTATTCCTGTGTTACATTGTCACTTCTTTTTCTCTGACCCTCTTTACAGTTTGTACCACTCGCGCTGAGTCTGAGTCACTCTTCAGAGCGCTGCTGACAAATAGAGCAGCACTTTTACAACACCACCACCACCACCTGTTGTAAAACATGCACCAAACTCCCTGGAGCTCTGTAGGCACCCGCGCTGACAACGGCACACCTACACGATAACACCTAACCCACGCTAACAACCGAGAGACATGTCACACTGCCTCCCAAAATGTAACCTACACATAACATGCAACAGATCACATTTAAACAGTCCATAGTTAACCCATGCCAACTACCAAAGGGACATGCCACATCGCCTCACCATATGTACACATAACACGCTAATCATAGTGTATATATAAATTAGGGGGACCAGAGATTCAAAATTAAAAACTGGGACACACCCGGGTTGGGATGTTGGTATAAATAAAATAGTGAAAAGAGAGCATAACATTGTTCATTCTCGATTCACTTGTGGGTCGCTATAGACTTTTATTGATGCAGTTTTTCGCCTTATAGTCACTTCCAAGCACAGTTTTCTGTATTTTAGCTCAACAAATGACAATATATTCCCCCTCGCTACTGTTGGTGAGCATCAAATTGGTCAAAAACAGGGGCAACTGGGACATTTCTTGTATAAATTTACAAGAAAACAAATAACTATTTATGCCTCTCTTTTACTGTTGGCGGATGTGAAACTGGTCAAAAATAGGCACACACATTTCTTGTATAAAACTGGGACAAATCACTAGTTTTGTATAAATCTGCTGGGACAGGGGACACAGGGCTCAAAACTGGGGCTATCTTGGATAAATAGGGACAGTCCCAGCATTTCACTCTGATATAAATGGACGTAGCAAACCCCCTAGCTGCAGTGCTCCAAATAGGATGTGAGCATGGGTCGCTTCCGGCTCCATCGACTCTGGCTCCAATTCACAATGACAATGAAAACTGTTGTTCCTCTCTCTGCAACTGCAGCTGTGAGCCTGCCATTTTGCCTGGCTTAAAAGGTTCATATTAACCCCCTCTACATGATCCTATAGTGTTTTTATTTTGGTATTTTGCCTGTAAATAATTTCCTATAGGCTCTATTCACGCTTACGTCACAAACCAGGAAGACGTTTGGAAACATGCAATGACAATTTCAGGTGTAGTTACCAGCACTGGGCTCGCCAACCGACTCTGGTAAAACCCACTGAAGTAAATGTGATCAGCAGTAAAATGAAGACTGCATACATTTGTACTGTTTGGAAACATCTGGAATTTGGCCTCATTTCTTCTAATTGTACCCTTTGCACTCGGTGTTGTATGTCAGTGGGGAAATTATAAAAACTGAGGTATGGTTGTAATTGTTGATTAGCCAAACACAACGGAACACTACAGAGACATTTACATGAAGAAAACTGGCCTACTTTCTCCTTTTTTCTAGATTTTGTCAGACTTACTACTACTAACTTGCTACAAACAAAGCCCGCTGGAAGTTGTTTCCAAACGTCTTCCTGGTTTGTGCCATAAGCATCCACTTTATACAATCTATAATGCTATTAAATACATTTACCAGTATGTGAACCTAACTAGGAACATGTTTAATTGCCTCAACCAAACAGTGCACCTTATGATAACAGCTAACTCATATTTAGTCCAAAAAATAATACCATCCCTAATCTAGATTTATAAAAATTCAGTAAGATTTTTTAAAAAGTCGGATTTTGTGGTGATTCTTCATTTCCACACAAGGGACATTTTCTCAGTTTGAAATCCTTAAAACTGTCTTAAAAATACTTTTCAGTGGTCTGACAAAAACAAAAAAACAGCCAGCCTGATCACGGTCTACTCAGTCTACAGAAAAACCGTCCATATTAGATTAATATATGCACCAAGGTTGCTGTGAGACATTTTATGTGAAGGTGAAGTGAAATCATAAAAACATGTGGGGGTTGATTCATTTGGTGCAGACACTAAACAGGTCACGGTCAAGGACTTGCATTCATTGATAGGCTATAGGCTTGGTTTTAAATAGTAGAATGTGATGATGACTCTCTCTCAGATGGGGCTGTGTAGGAGGAGCATTCATATTGCCAAAGAAATACCCAAAGGAAAACACCTGAATTCAGCCTTAGTTTGTTGCATATGAAACTCAAATCAGAGGATCAGTGAATTCATTTGTACTGTTTTTATTTACAACAACTGAAACTAAATATCTTGGGCCTTTTATCACTTCACACATGACAAGTGATGATGACGATTACAAACAATATAATTTGCTTTATGCTAAGGCAAATACTTAAATGTTTAAATTTAGGTATTTTACTACTAATAATGCACTTTTCTTGACACAATTTCATGCATTATTCATTCACTCCACACAGGGTGCTGGTTAGGTGTGTGCAAAAAGTATCGAAATATCAATATCGTATCGTTTAATGTGATGATACAGCATCAATATTGGGGACTGCTGTATCGCTATATCAGCAAGAGTATTTTATTTTTTTTACCATATTTTACTAAATTATTTTGTTACAGCGCTACAATTTTTATGCTTGTTTAGAGGAAGGAAACTTGTTTATGCGACACAATTGATATTTTCACTGTTTTGATGATTAAAATGTTTGTTTCATATTAACTTTGTACAAGAAGTGGTTTAAAAAGACTTTTAGTATCACTATCATCATTTAGCCACTATTTTTATTAAACCGTATCATATAGTTTTGAAATATATCATATCAAAACAAAAGTGCTTCCTGTGAACTTTTTTTTATAAAATTAAACTGCCAGAGAGCTACTAATTTTAGCGGTCGCCATAAATTTTGTAAACGTGAGAGCCGTTGTAAGCCGAAGATGAGGTACAGTTAGATGTC